CTTAATAGCTTCAAATGGTGGGTAAGATGAAAATGTACTTAGGTTTCATTTTTTATTCAAACTAACAGTTTAATAATGGTGTACTGGTAATCTGGAATTTCTAGTCATATTACCCTCCAAAACAGCTCAGGTGTTCTTCTACATGCACCGCACAATCCCACAAGACACTGCAATGCATCATCGTATTTGTGACTTAACAAGCTGTTTAACAGCAATCTTGCAAGATATGTGATATGCTGCTGATGGTATGATGCAGTTTCCAACCCTGTCAATAACAAAAAAAATAAGGCATAAAACAGTGAAGCATATCAGTAGACAACCTACAGCTGTATCTACATGTATACCTTCATAATTAAAAAACACATGGATTACAGCATCTACCCTCCCTACAGAATGTAGTAATAAAAATAAAAGAAAAATAGATCTGAAGTATGTTTTTTGTAACAGTTCTGGTTTTTTCTGGATTATCAGTACACAAGGGAATTTTCCAATATAGCACCTGTGTTTTTTAGATACTATATCTGTATTGTCTATTGTCTGATCTCATTTTTTGTCCTTTCAGTGTACTGGTACACTACATGTAGGACAGAACCATGTCAGCCCTTTGGTTCAGTTATCACATGAAATATATTGATGATGATGATGAAGACGATGTAAAAGGTGCTAGGAAAAAAAGGAACCCTTCAGATTTCATTTTTTAAAATTTGAGGGTTGGGATTCCAATCATCCCTAGGGGGGTGCGGACAAAAAATGGAATATCCCTTTCCCCACAACCACATGCATAAATCATAGGGTCATGTATTTTGCACTCACTCTGTTCACTTTTCGTTTTATATGACATTGTTATAAAACGTAGTACACCCATTTTGTGTCCGAATGAACTTTAAAGTTTTGAAAGACGAACACTTAAGCTTACAGGTTCCAGATCCAGGAATCATTCTAATGGATCTTCTTTCAGCTACATCATGGCGAGAACATGGTTTTTAGAAGCTGTTATCTCAAGACAATTTAGCTGGAAGAAAGTCTACAACTTACTTAGTGTATGGGAAAGGCATGCTTCACGCCATATTTGCTGAAAGATACACGATTTAAACCATGGTGGGCTCACTCGATTTGCTAACCAATAATTCCACACAGTCGCCATCTTGAAAATTAAAAGAGTACCTCGTGTAAGCATACATGAATAGTACCTTACTCACGAACACCAGGAAACTGGAGCCTACAATTAGGAACCTGACCGAGTCGTGGTGGGGGCTTGGATTAGGGCTAACAAGCGGTGCCAAGGGAAACATCTTGGATTGTTGCAGATAGTTTGAATTGTGGGATAAGTTTGATTTCATTGAATTATTTAGTGCGTTAACTCGCGGGAATAGCCTGTTCCAGAATTCAGGATAGCGTTGTGCAGTCCCGCTTGGTTTGTATCATGATTTTCGCCGGACGTCCCAAATATATGAGAACCTAGAGCAGATAGTGTTGTTCAAATCTTGTGAAGTACAAAAAGAACGCAAACTCAATTATTTTAGATGTGGGGAATTTAAATAGAATTGCTATAAATAAGTATAGAAATATCTCGGAGAATAGCATTGTGTATTTTAACAAAAATCTGCACGTATCTCATTAATCTGTTTTGTGTTTGGAAGGAATAATTTCTTTTAGTTTGGAATAATTTATTTTTAGCTTGGTTCGATTCACGTATCGAAGAACCGTCAGGGGCGGATTTAGGGTTGGGGGGAGGGGGGGGGGGCTGGATTGGGTGGCTAGCCACCCCCCTTTTGAAGAAGCGAAAAAAATTGAAAAAGATTGCTTGGCAGAAATAAAGGCAAACACTCTGGACAGGTACCCCATAGTAACTTCTCGTTTGTGGTGTTGCTAGTATGTCTGGTTAACAGTTTTAAATTGAGTCCAGTTCTCAAATTGCAACATTTTGGGACCATGCCCCATTGATTCTGCAACCCCAAGGTACCAGCCACCTCCCCCCGCCCCACCTTGAAAAATCCTGGATCTGCCCCTGAACCGTTTAAAGTACCAGAAGAATTGGCACGTCTCTGAGAAGTGTGAAATGGTTACCAAAATCAGTTGTTTGGCTGAGATAAGTTTGCATGGGTACAAGGCTTTTCGTGGGCTCCTGATCTTACCCAATTTCACAAGTGTTCAGCTTTGAGTTATTGTTTGTGCTGTCCTAGCCACTTTGTGCTTCTGGTACGCTAAATCAAATATTTCTATTTATTAATTTTTATTTTTTTAATGCTAAAATTTCAATTAGAGTCCTTAACCTTAACGTTACTAATATCGTTTTTTATCAGGTTGTCAAAGTTTTTTTTTACTTTAGTTTGTTTGGGAAGTTAATGTGAAGGACAGGCACGCATTTTTAAAATTTGTCACCAACAGTTATTAAATTGTTTATTAAGTAGTAACTGCAAGGTTCTAGTACCTGCTAAAGTGATGATCATAGAATTCCTAAAATGCATAGTATCATTTTTTGACAGCATCGAAGTCGCATATTTCGTTTTGTGTTTTCTTGTGTGGGTAATGTACAAAATACAAATATAAACAATGTTAATTATGTCTTAACCCTAACATATTCTTGTCTGATCTATGCAAAAATCCGTCCAAATTGGGAGCTCAGAGATCGTGAAAAATACCTTTCTACACATTTCATGAAAAAGAGCGTTTATTTTAACTGCCTCGGGCGTCGTTCAACCTTTCAAGATTTTCTTTCATTCCATATTGGGCTTTACACCGAGCCCGATTTCTTGCCCCTTTATTTCCTCAAGGTGACTGTATGAGTGACGCAGAACTGAAAGGGAACGAGCCTGTAGCTCGATTTTTGCATGTCTCATTGTGGTTGGCAAGGAACGTCCCAACAAATATAGATCGAGCTAGAAAGGACATCGGGAGAAGGTTTTCGAGCATAAATTATAGGTTCCCCTGAGCCAACTCGAGAAAGAGAAGGATATACGCCATTTTACAAAATTGACGTCAGTTTTTTATGGGTCTGTCCTGTTATCGATCATGAATTTCGTCATAACATTGTCAAAGTAGCTGTGGATCCACGAGGCGATAGCCAAGTGGATCCACTCGCCGAGTGGATCGAGGCGGCAGCCGAGTGGACAATATATTATCGCATAAATTATAAATTCATGTGTCTGTCCGCTTATTGACAGTGAAAATTAGCCAATAAGCGCGCGAGGATTTCTACAGTTATTGTAAAACTATAGATGCCAGGAGGTCACATCATCATGATGTAGGTTAAGTCTGCATTCCAGCTTAAATGCCCATCAGAACGGCGCTCCGGTATTAGTACCATGAAGTGACTAGGAGTATTTCTTCTTGTCCCTGGATGGAATCCTAGTCAATTGCAACGAATACCAGGAATGTCAGGAGTGGAAAGGGCGTGATAAAACTACCAGGTCTTTTTAGGCCTCTAACTTTCATTGAAGTTTCGAGTGCTATTTACTTGGCCTTTTTCTTCTAATAAAGGACGAATTTTAACATTTCTTGAGAGAACGATAACTAACAACATTTCCGGCTAAATCCGTCCGTGTTTTCTTAGCACGTAACTTACAACGGCGTTTTTATTTTTGCTTGGCATTTTCATGGTTCCTTCCGACGTACGGTCAAAAAATTGGGACCTGGGAACGAAAAAACAAAATGAAGCAAATTTTACCCTTATCTAAGTTAAACTATTTCTTGTCTGTGTTACAGTTAGCTGCCCTCCCTGGTTTCCCTTCCTCTCCGATTTTTTCTTTTGAGGCGGGCGGCTAGAACCAAGGTCCAGAGAGTCTTCTCGGGCAGGCAATCGCCCGGGTGGAGTTTGGGCACGACGAAAAGACTTCACTTCTGTTTCCGTTTTCACTATCCACTTTCGCTTTCATTGCCTCCCTCGTATTATGCAATGCCGAACTCTTTATCTCTAAAAAAACTGCTTACGGCTAACCCTGACAGGTGAGTGATAAGATGCAATGCTTAACCAAACTATCACGGTCTGTTTCACTCGCAGATCTAAACAATTCAGTCTACAGATGTCGTTGAAAGTATCATCTAACGGCGAGTGCTGGTTTTCTAGTTAAACCAAGTACAAAGCCCTTATGGTTTCATACAACTTTGGCCTCTGAAACATAATTAAAGTTAGGATTAGAGGAGATATTTGAAAAATAAGTGAAGCTAAGGTTAGAGGAGATATTTGTTTGATAGTATTTTCATAATCAATGCATGTAAGTAACTTTATAATTAATAGCCCAGAGCAAGCATGACATAAACAACTTCTATGGATCACTTGTACGGCTTCCCTGTTCATATATATGTGGGATGACATAAAGTGACTGAACTTCCGTGGCGTAAGATTTCGCCAGGAGACCTTCAAGAGATCATTTTGTTCTATTTTCTCATTTGTATGGTTTACATTAATTCTCTGCAAATCTATCGATCGATAGATTTCGACTTCACATAGTGAAATTGTTTTGTATTTGGCCAAACAAATAGACCTTGTCACGGTTTTCGACGCCATCTTGCCGAGTAGGCAAATGCGTGAGAAATTACAGCTAATTACAGTGTTTGTATGAGAATCTAATGTCGAATAATTTCCGTAGAACGGATGTTCTGAAAAAAATATCAATTGTAAACTAAAGCTACAAAGCAAAGGATTGTCCGAAAAAAAATTTGGAGGCGTACCTGTGCTTAAATTTCTCCAAAGGCTTGCTTTAGATTTTCCATACATTTGTCTGTAATTTTCCCGGGACGTTCTTACGGAGAATGTATAGGAAATTTAAAAAGTGGTTCTAGGTCTTCTAGTGCATGTAACGCCCTCAAATTTTTTCAGTAGAATCCTTAGGAGTGAAGCTTTGGTTTACAAATCATATGTTTTTCAGAACAGCCGTTCTACGGAAATTATTCGAAATTAGATTCTCATAAAAAACACTGTAATTTCTCACGCGTTTGCCTACTCGTCAAAATGGCGTCGAAAACCGTGACAAGGTCTATTGGGTTTGATTATGGAAATAATGTCGTCAACCAACTCTACAATAACGATTCTGGATCTCAGCTTTTTAAAAATGGGATGTATTAGAATCTAATCCTAGGGTTTGAACAGTGATCTTGTATAACTTAAAAGTGTGTTTTAGTTATTTCATTCATCATTGCAGTTGCTTTCTTGCAGTTGAGTTACTCTGAAGTCTTTGGCGAGACTGGTGCCATTGAAAACCTGAATCAGGGAAGGAAGTGGTATTGTACAGTAGGTATGTGTGATATTTCTTTTACTTGAAAAGTATTTGTGGCATAAATTCTTAGATGTTAAAATTTACCGCAGTTTCTTCCCTATGGTGCTGTTTTGAATATTCTGTGTGCGATTAGGCATAAAGGGATTAATGTGGGCCTGACCGGGGTGAATGCTAAGTGAATTCATGACATCTTCGAGAACGTAGCATTTGAAATTTACAGCTAGCTGAGTTTAGCACTTAGACATTGTTTACAGTGATGCGATGTCAGACTTCGTAATCTGTGACGGATAGGATAGTTTATATATCCTGAATGTTTTTCAGGCTTTATTTTTGCAACTGCTTAAGTTGCGTTCCCAACTGCCCTGATCTTACTGCGCTTTTCACAAACATGCGAACTCTAAAGTTCAAAAGCCGCCTTCACAATTGCGTTTTTCGCTGCCGTCAATCATAATTACCATCACAAACAGCGAACCTGGAAACACAGGGCGCTTTCCATTTAGTCAAAATTTCCGGAATTTCCCGTTCGGCGGTAAATGGAACACGTTTCGTCGGTTCGTCCCACTGGAAAATTCCCAGAAAAAGTGGAAAATCTAAAAAGGTGGTCCCGTTTTCCCGGTTGCAATTTCCGAACGAAATGTCGTGTTCCATTGACGTTTCTTGTAGTTTGTACCAGTTCCAGGTCCACGGTCGAGCACCCGGCCACGTACCGGGGTTTACGACCAAATGGAACAACTTTTTACCAATCGGAAATTCCACTTTTGCTACCACCGAAATTTCCAGGTTTTTTTCGTAAATGGAAAGCGCCCACAGAAACACACAAAACGGATCGAAATCCACCAATCACAAATCACAAACCTCGACCTTTTGAACCCGTTAAAGTAAAGTTTTGTTTCCTAAGAGGTCCGTTAAGATGATTGACGGCAGCGAAAAACGCAATCGTCAGTTGGCTTTTGAACTTCAGAATTCGCATGTTTGTGAAAAGCGCAGTAACCTGAGATCAGGCTCTATATTCGTTTCGCTTTGAAAATTACATTCCGGCGGGCATGGCGAAACAAAAAGAGAGCCTGATACAAACCTTCAACGAAACATCTGCCGCCCACTTTTTTGATTGATTGACATTTGCCGAATCAGCCAACCAAAATTACTTCCGTTGCTTGTTTTTCTAGTCCGCAAATTTTTCATGCGTGGGAAAAATACAGACTGGCTGACTTAAAAAATAGCTCCTATCTGTTAATTTTTTCAGCTAAAAATAAAACAGTCAGCACAATCACATTTAACTTCTTGCGAGATTAAGGGAGATCTCCAAGGTTATTTGTTTTGGCGTAGAAGGTAAAACGTTTTCGAAAAGACGGCGACACGATGTTCTATTTGGCTAGGCGCGCTCGAATTTTAAATACTGAAATTGCTATTTTTCTGTTGCCTTAATATTTTCCTCGGCAATTTCCCCCGATTTTCAGTACATAAATCTTTAAAAACAAAAGCAAACAGCAAACGAGCGAGGACAACGGTTTTCCTGGTTTGTTTTTTACAAAAAGCGAAGACAAACAACCAGTCTGTTACCGGGTGTCTAGAAAACGACGACCTAAAAAACGACGACCTAGAAAACGATGACCTAGACAACGACGACCTAAAAAAAAAACCCGCGGGGAAAGGAGGGGGGGCTTAATAGAAGTGTGCGAAATGCCCCATTCCCGGACAAAACCAAAATAGCATATTCATAGCAAATCTCAGTGTAATCTTATCAAACGTGCCAAACACCCACGCAAATCACTCCTAGCCGCTAGTTATCAGTAATGCTAAGGTCAATAGGACATCGTAGTACGTGCGGACGATTCTCTCAGAACCGAAATTTCTTGGATGCATTTTGGGCGCTTTCCATTCACCCAAAACTTAAGAAACTTTGGGAACAGCGACCCTTGATACAGTATTTTCCCGGAAAAGTTCCCAAACTTTTCCAAAATGCGAACCATTCAACCAGAAATTTTAGACATTCGGGAGCAAAGTTGAATGTGGAAAGAAAACTTCCCTATGATAATTTTCGGAAAGTTTGGTATATATTGCGAAAATGCTGTTCCATTCGGTACTGCATGGAAGTTGCCGAAAATTTAAACCAGACGTTTTGATTGAATGGCACGGCACCCATTCAAAGGTGACCAAATTCGTTACTAATTGTGCTCCCTTTGCGCGCGCGCGTCAGAGCTCCACTAAAAAAATTTCTCAAGTCAAATATTCCTTTGGTATGGTCAATGAAGTCATGATTCAACCTGACTGACTACTGGAAGCAAAAGCTTTGCTTTGACCTATTTATTATCCTGATATCAATTTAAACAAATTTCTATCAAATCTAAGTGACCTAAATAATATACACTGCCTCACTGGCGCGTCGTTTATAGCGGAAAGTTCAAGCCCATATAAATCAAACAGGAAATAAATCAGGCGTGCCGTTTTTGTCCACATCTCAATACCGTAAACAAACAGTTTATATTTTGAAAATAAAGAAAGAGGGGCTTCAACATTTTCTCGTACCTTTCCATACATGAAACGGCAGTATACCGGTAACGAGAATTGTGAAATATTATTTAGTACACAATGAAGGTTGACATGTCATAAGATTTGAACTGTATTTGAACTGTAAGATTTGAATCGTATCAGCCTAGGAGTTTCTGTTTCCTCACAGGTCCAATAGCGTGGTATATATGTAGTGAGATCTCAGGTAGAACTTTTGAATTGTTACTGGGCTGCCCGGCAAGCCCAGTCATAAATTCGGTTTTCGGTCGTCTGTGCAGAAAAACGGCCTCCCGGGGGAGGGAAGACACGAGGGTCTGGTACCGAGAAACGATGTTCTCACAAATGGTTTCATATGATTTTCTCTTGCACGGACTCTTGCACGAATACTTTTTGTACCTCGTCTCCGCCCCCCCTGGGAAACCCAGAAGGCGTTGTGAACCTGAAGAAGGCTATTTGCGTTGTTCGAAGCGATTCGATCATAGGAGTCACTTTATAAGTTTTGTCATTGTTCGAGTTTAAGTCAGTTGATGATGTTGGTGCTGGGAAACTCAGAGAAATGCTCACGCTGCATACAAACCCACACGCCGTCCACGGTAGTTTCACACCAAAAGATGACTGTGAGCGTCAGGTTTGGAACGCCGGGGCAGTTTCGTGAACTCAAAGAGATAATTATCGATCAATGTAGTACATGAACAATTAATAAGCACAATTGATAAGCAAAGTATTTCACCAGTTGACGACACTGTGGTTAAAGACTTGACTGTAAGCTGTCGTACTCACTGAAGCGAACAACTCAGTTGCCGACGAATGTCAGATGAATCCTGATGTTAAGAAATGAACGTCCATGAGCGAGGGACGTGACAACTTTGCCATATTAAAAGACTGGCTTTTCCTTTCAATATTTCCTTTTATTTTTATGCAACACACGCCACTTTGGAGGTCTATATTTCGTATACTGGGGATAAAGAAGACACGGACAAAAATAGGAACTTTGAGAATTTCGTACACAAGTTCAAAGCTTCACCCGGGACATCCCACCGGGAGCTTCACAAAGACCAACTTGAGGAAAATGGGGGATATTACTGACAAGGTTTGGTGACTGAGTAGAGCATACAAGTGTAGCCCAGGTCGAGGTTTCAAGGGGTTTGCTTTTGTTTGTATCTGTATCTTGCTTAGCTTTTATCTTTAAATTTGTACATGATCTTCTTATCACAATTCAGTGTTTTCACCCATTCAGCAAGCACGCTATATCGATGTCAGCTAGCATTAGCGAGTTTCAGAAAACATGCCTTCGAAAATTTTCAGCTCTCGTGATGTTTCTTGATATTTCTTGTACCATTTTATGGAGATGTAATCTGAAGTCACCGCAAAATGGAAACTTAAAAAAGCGTGTAATCCATTTCTCTCGAAACATAATACACATGACTTATACGACCTTTATTTTCCTAATGGTGTTTTGAATACGAACGAACACAGTCAATGTGAGGGGCAAGAACAGCATTAATATGAATGAACCATAGGGTTTTAATTAATATAAGGGTCAATTATTGTGCGTTCAGATGAATCTCTTGAAAAGAGAGACTTCGCTTGAAGATGTGATCAGAAGTAAACAAAGGACAATAGTGTGTTACGTTCAGTCTTTTTAATATCCAAGGACTTTGAATAGTGTTTCCATATTGTTTAGCTGGCACAAAAACTTTGGAGGAGTTATAAAGCGGCATAGTTATCTTTCATGAAGAAAAGTTAGTCATGGGTAAGACGCAAACAGTGAACTGGAGTGAATTTTTAACTCATATCGGTATTAGGTAAAAATATGTTATCGATCTCGATCGATCGTTTCATCTATTTACATTGTTTGAAGTGCGTGCTGATAAAAGCAAGGGCGTATGGAAAAGCCGGAATCCGGAATCCGAAACCGGAGCCGGAAAGGGAAACGGAACCGGAACCGGAACCGGAACTTAAATTGAGATCAGGGTAAACTGGGAAGCACTGAAACCAGTTCCCGATACCCGTGTGGGAATAAAATTCAAGATGGCGTCCTGTGTTATCATTGTTTTGCGAAATTTTCAGCACAGTGATCGTGATACCAAAGGTATACTCACATTCGGAAAGTGACTTGCAAGAAAAAAAAGTAAGTGCATCCTAATGTTATTCCTAGCAGTCATAAACTGTGACTGCAGCTGTAGGTCGAGCAATTTTCGACAGATCGAGACTACAACTAATCAGAAGCCGGTTGACTGCGAAAAACAGCCATTATTAGTATGTGATGTTTAAGACTGCTGTGTTATTCATTTCCTTCTCTTGAGCCTAAGTTACTCATTTCTTAAAAGGGCTCCGTGTTTCATCGATTGTGAGGAAAAGGCGGCAAAGGGAGGAGGAGTACTCATGCAGGGTTGTCATTAAGAGCCGGGGGCCGGGGATTTTCCCCGGCTACTAAGAGAGTGGCCCCCGGCTACTTTTATTGGAAAACAGAAGAAAAATAGAACCAAAAGAAATCCCTAGCCGTTTGATTACCCGCCTACTTGTTGTGTTTACCCGGCAACTTGAAATCTTAGTGACAACCCTGCTCATGTCAATCATGATCCCAAGTTGCAACGCTCACGCGTATATGAAATTCTCGAAAAAAAATTTTGCGCCATACGCAAAAAGTGCGACAGTAAAAAAAAATAATAACAGTAAATAAATATAATGTGGGGATGATAAGTCTTGATCGAGCAATAAATATTAGTGACACTCTTAAGACAGAAACGTCCCCAAGTTTTATTTCTTAGGTTCGGGTTCGGGTTCGGGTTCCGGTTCCGGTTCCGTTTCCGTTTCCGTTTCCGGCTCCGGTTCCGGATTCCGGATTCCGGCTTTTCCATACGCCCTACAAGCAACATGCGAGCGAGAAATCATTAAACTTTTTTAGGTCACAAAATACAAAGGATTTTATTCCTTTTAGTTAGAGAAAAATACCAAAAGGAAAGTCTTAAAACTGAATACTTTTTATCTTGTGGAAAAAAATGGTGCGTTTTCATGTAGTGTAGACCGCAAATTAGAATCGTCTATGACTATTTACTGCAGGTTTCACAAACATGCGAATTCTAAAGTTCAAAAGCCAATCGACGATTGCGTTTTTCGCTGCTGTCAATCATCTTAACGGTTCTCAGGAAACTCAACTTTACTTCACGGGTTCAAAAGGTCATGGTTTGGGATTTGTCATTTGTGAGTGGTGGATTTCGATCCGTTTTGTGTGTTTCTCTGTTTCAAGGTTCGTTGCTTGTGATCGTAATTATGATTGACGGCAGCGAAAAACGCAATTGTGAAAGTGCCTTTTGAACTTTAGAGTTCGCATGTTTGTGAAAAGCACAGTAAAGTCTCAATGCAGTCTGTGAGGCCCCTGGATCAGGTGGGATCAATGGACAGTTGGCTGTCTGTTTTAGTAAACTTCTGGTTTTCATACAATACAATATTTCTGTCTAGTGTAAATCAGCTCAGTCTTTCGCCTTTTACACTCGTAGAACGACAATAATTTTTGGAATTTCCGGTTACGTCAAATTAGTCACGTTATACTGTCACGCTATATTTTGGGGCACAGAGGGATTGGGGGAGGGGTGCGTGAAAATAATGGAAATCTTTTCCTGCTTTGAATTAATGGCTAACTTGTTTACTTTTATTCATAATGGTGGAATTTAAAAGTTATTATACAGCCCCCACTTAAAAATGGTACTTTTTTTTTTTGTTACAAAAGTCTTTCAAAAGGGTACAATGTTCTGAATGAGTTTCAGTCTCACATGAGATTCTGTCTCACCCAATAGTCGGCGACAAGGTTTTATGGTCGCCTGAGTGTCAGTGATAGCCGCCCCCTTCCCTCAGAAAAAATAGCCCCTTTACAGCCCAGTTAAAAATCGCCTTTCGGCGATTCTTGTTCACAAATAAATTATTACATCATGTGAAATAGAGACAACGCCGCAGAGCTGAGCAGAATTAAAAATTTCACTTCAGTTCATCTTTAATTCTTCCATCACTTTCACGCAATGCACAATGCAATGTCCAAGACAAAACAATAGCTCCTGCGACCACACTAGGCACCCTTAACTGCTGTTTAAAAATGCGAGAGACGGTTTTATAAACGGCGCTATCAAAATAACGCAAGAACAATAGATGTAGGTATCTCGCGGGGTACATGTAACGAAGGTTAACGTTAATCAATAAATCAATCGAGCATCTCCGCCTAAACGTGAAAATTTCCCAAATTTTGACTTTTAGAAATACTTCGTTCCCCAAATCTCTTTTTATTAACACACTCCGGGATTGCTCATGAAACTAACCCGATATACTTTTAATCAGTAAACACCAAGACAGGTTATCCTCTCTTGGTAAACACTTTATTGGCCACCACCCCAGCCAGTTCTAGAGGGGAAGGGTGTTTCCTTAGGAACTGATTAGCTCAAATGACCACCGAACTTTAATAATTATTCGATCTTAAAGAAATACATTTATAATTCGCAATCAGAACAAACACAAATCGTCTTAATCTCGTAGCTAAAGCAAACTTACTTCTGTGGCGGGTCGTTACAACAATCGGACTTTACAGGTTAGCAAATTCTTTTAACAGATTCTTCAGGTAAGCGGATTTATAGACACACTGTAAATTATTTTCTTTCTCACTTCGATTCTACTGAAAAACTGGTTTGAAACACAATAAGGTAATACAATTCTTGTCATGAAATAAATCTATTCAATAACAGGCAACGCTTGTTTGATAAACAAAACAGAGAGGAGACCTCGCGTACCTTGCATTTCCATTTCCACCGTTTTATTCCTTGGCTTCATACCCTTAGCCGTCTTGTGACAAATAATATTTACTATTTTTCTGTAATTTCCTTCTTCGCCCACCTCTCACCCCTTCATAATTCCCTCCTATCGTCCTCTTATTTCCCGCCTTCTGTACACCTCTAACCCCTTAATCCTTCGAGCTACCCCATCCCTGTCGTCGTTTTTCTAGGTCGTCGTTTCTAGGTCATCGTTTTCTAGGTCGACGTTTTCTGGGTCGTTGTTTTCTAGGTCATCGTTTTCTAGGTCTTCGTTTTCTAGGTCGTCGTCTTCTAGGTCGTCGTTTTCTAGACACCCATCTGTTACCTTAAGCCACCAGCTTTATAATAATGCCTACACTGAAAATTCCTTGAACAGCGATGCAATATTTTTCGTCTAGTACTTCACAGTTGGCGATTGAGGCTTCTTTCGCAGTGAGCCTCCGCTTGCGTACCCTGTTCCGAGAAGTCATTCGCGGCTAAAGTTTCAAATGAAACCAGTTTTAAGATGGACAGTATTTTGATTTGCACTCGTTTGTTGGTAAATCAAAAGGCACCTTGTTAGCGGTCAACAACTTGCAGAGGGATTCAACTCCGCGATACACTCACTTTCCGTATTAAGGCATATTTAAGGCATATTTTCCTACCATAAGACCATAAAACAATAAAAAAGACAGCAAAATCGATCCTTCTCTCCACCGACGACGGATCATTCACGAAAACAACCACGCGAGGATTAAGCGCTTTCAACTTCCGGCGTTTCTGACAGCCAATCAGATCTTGTGGCATTGTTCTAACAGCCAATCAGCGTTACGGCCAAAATCTGGCCGTAACGAGCACAAGCGTGAATGAGTTTGGATCAGGCCCAATTTTAGCAGTAGCCGTTAGAGAGAATGTATGAGAACCGCTAAAATTGGGCCTGATCTCTGGTTACCCTGATCTTTGATGTAGTAAGTATATTTTTCTTCCGCAGTTCAAACTCATGATGTTTCAGTCATTTATACTACTACATGAAAAATTTCTGCGATTTGATTGGCTTAGGTGCTAGAGCAGTGGTATTTCAGCTTAATGTGAAATTCCTACATGTGAAAATTACAAACCTTTTGCGGGTAGTAGTATAAACAAATAATAGCATGATTTGTACGTGATATTTGCAGGATTGTCAATAAGGGGCGGTAGCCAGCCAAAATCGCCGGCTAGTTAGCCATCCTTGGCCAGCTACTTTAATCTCCTTATCTACCGTAACTGCTAACCAAAAATAAGCATCATCAAATAAAAATAATTGTAAAGCATCCGTTTCCCAGTTTTGAATGACATTGAACGCATATTCTAGCAGGTTTAGATCTGTTACACGTTCGAACTGTGCAATGTCTTGGAACGCCTGGGACATTTCTACGGCATTGTTCCCAGTCTAGCGTGTATTCTGACGAAACAACATGGCGTCTACGGGGTGGAAAATACCTCTTGAAAACCTCTGGGAACGCCATTTCCGAGATTATAATTTTCAAAATGTCCCTAGATGTCTCGGCCCTCAAGAACTTGTGCCTTTGGTGCGAGTTCCAAAGCAACCTACTATTCAGTTTGAGCCTGCTACTTAAAAACTTTTTGACAGCCCTTGATATTTGGCATAAATACCACTCGTGATATTTCAAGATTGTCCCAAATTACTCAAATTTCACTCGCCTAACGGCTCGTGAAATTACGTATAACAATTTCGATTGCAATCACTCGTGGCATTTATGCCAAATATCACTACAAATCATGCTATTACCTATACATATTCACTTGCTCGGAACTCACTGTTAAGCAGTAATGGGGAAACTGATGCACTAAACCAGTTTTGCAGAAAATTTTACTGCGTTTGCAGAAATACAAGATTCCGTTTTCCTATTGGTAATTAAAACCATTTTGCATTTATAAGCCTCGCAATAAAAGAATGTTGCTTAATCCGGTAGATCTACTCTAGGTATTGGGCGTTAATTTAATTGCGTGACGAAATACTGTTATTTGTTTCTTATTTTCAAATGGTTTTTCAAATGCCCTGTGTAACTAACGAAGATGTGAGTCAAGTGAAAACATCGTGATCTTTTTACAAATCGGGTGTCTTGTTTTCGTTCGTCACTCTATATTATAACTTACATCTCATCTAATGCCTGTCTTCAAATTATTTCTTGAGACTATCGTTTCCATTTACCATAGGTGAGACATCCTCCTTTTCAGCAACAAATACTAGATGTTACACATATTACACCCCCCCCTCGCCCATCCACTGTGTATAACGCAGTAGTCACTGCTGTCCAACTACGAGGTAGAGAAGAAATAATGATGTTGTGTTGACGTCGAAGCTTTCGTTTACTTGTGTTAACCAAATGGATCAAATGTGGTCAACACAAATGCTGGCCATAGACTCAGAGGCAAGTCTTCCCGACTAGGAAAAAGAACGTTGCAAGTGTGATTCGCATAGTAACGCTGTAGAATACAGCAATAAATCCAACTCTTACACACCAGAGACATAAGGTGGCTGATAACAGTTTCAACACTTTCCAGCATTATACTTTGACGGATCAAAACTTCCACTCTTTATCAAGTGATGCTGCAATATAGGTATCACACAATCGCCCAACCACCTGTAAACAAGTTGTGGTCATCTTCACTGGACGAAAAAACGGATTTACTAATGTTTGCGAAAGGTGCAAATATGTGGTAAATTTGGAGCTCCAAATTTGCATTACATTTGCGCTGTCGGCTAAAGTGTGGGCAAATACATATATTTGCTAGATACGTATTGATACGCAAAAGTGAAGTAAATGTAATGGTTTGATACAAATTTGATACATATTTGCAGCATGGGCAAATCTTCAACATTTCTACCAGTTTACTCAAATTTGCATCCTTGGCAAAAATGACAGTTTTCACTTTACTTCAAATGCAGGCAAAAATATTGCAAAACCCCTAATTTGCAGTGGTATTTGCTCTTGTTTTTCCAGGATACCAAAAGAACACTTTTGCATGTGGTTTACTCGTATTTGCCTTAAGAGCAAAAACAACAAATTTCTAGACATTTGGCTGTATCATAAATTTGCACATTTGCATCATAATTATCCATATTTGCGAGGGGAGCAAATATAGTGAGCTGCATAACATTTGCTGACAGTCAAAGGTGATGTGCATGTGACATTTCCTATATGTTTGATCCGTTTTGTGACTAAAGTAAATTTCCAATCTCAACTGTAACATTACATTGTTACAATAAAATTTTGTACATGCTGTGAGACTCCGCCCAGAGGTCCAACCCCTTACATGCATCTTTCCTGTTAACTGTTTTATGTGCACTGTCATTTTAATATAAAGGAATCAGAAACCAGTTAATTTTTTTTGACAATTTTACATTCACAAATTTCTTCTGTTAGTCTTTTTACAGAACGAAATGACAGATAGTCTACCCTGTCATATACTTTAACTCAGGAAATCCCTATCCTTTCATACCTGAAGCATGAAAAAGGTGCCCCTTTCTGACAGCGCCCCTGGCATAAACCTTTCCCGGGCTACTAATTTAAAGCAAATACACTAATTCAAATCCACTCGTTATTAAGGTCCAGTAGTCAGATCATTGATGCACTGTATTTCCTACAGTCAGGGCCATAGCCAGTATGAGGCAAACCGAGGCACTTGCCTCTGTCATTTAAGGTTTGATCATGGCAGTGTTTTGTTTCAACGTAGTCATCATAAACACCCTGAATAGCTAATACATATACTGCAGGGTTCTTTCTATATTTCCGACAATATTTATACTGATTCTAGAATATTAGGGGCCTATATCATACGGGACTTATTTGTTGTAGTTTTGACTGACCACCTAGAGATGACTACATCTCGATGGTGGGCTTCCTAAAAATGACCACATTTTGAAAACTCAACAGCCAATACTACAACAAAATATGGTGAAACTGCTCACAATTTTATTTGAACATTAACTCAGCTGACAAATTTATGAAAGGCTAATTTTTCTTACTCTATTGTTTGCAACCCTGAGTTTAAGTTTCACTGATTTTAATGTTGATTTTGAGTTTTACTGTTCATTAAGTACTACCTATTCAATCCAAAAAAGTCACAGCATTTCGGCTAGCTAAAATTCACCTGAAGCCTGGTTATTTGAACTTGGGATACAAGGAGGATCTACAGGAGCTACCGGTCGAATTGTCAAATCCTACCCGACAAAGCCCCCGCCCCATAAACAATGAACAGACATTTATTGGGTTTATTGTTGGATCACAGGAGCTCTGAGTTAGCCTTAGATCATGAAAAGTCTAGAGCTATAAAGAAAAAACTAAGGTGGTGAAACAAATTAACATGCAGCCTTTAAACTTCTGGACTGGGTTGCTCAAAGATGGGTTAAGATAACACAAGGTTGGGTCCAGTGGTCAGATCATTTACTGCATTTTTTGTACATCATACTAAAAAATCAAATTTGGTCCGAAATAAAAAGTTTTGTGGATTTCAAACTCAGTGTTGTGATTATTCACTTGTACATAATTTCCTCATGGCCATGCATTTAACCAACAAACTTAATTCAATTTAAAACCAACAATTTTAGTTTAACCGGTATTTGTTGTAGTTTTGACTGCCCACCTAGAGATGACCACATCTCGATGGCCGGCTTCCTAAAAATGACCACATTTTGAAAACCCAACAGCCAATACTACAACAAAATATGGTGAAACTGCTCACAATTTTATTTGAACATCAACTCAGCTGACAAATTTATGAAAGGCTAATTTTTCTAACTTTGTTGTTTGCAACCCCGAGTTTGAGTTCCATTGATTTTAATGTTGATTTTGAGTTTTACTGTTCATTAAGCACTACCTATTCAATCCAAAAAGTCATAGCATTTTTGCTGGCTAGAATTCACCTGAAGCCTGGTTATTTGCTTGGGATACAAGGAGGATCCACAGGAGCTACCGGTCGAATGGTCAAATCCTACCTGACAGCCCCCCAAAACCCCCCCCACCTCTGCACAATAAACAATGCACAGATCTTTATTGGATTACAGGAACTCTGATTTGGCATTGGATCATGAAAAGTCTAGAGCTATAAAGAAAAAACTAAGGTAGTGAAACAAATTAACATGCAGCATTTATCCTTCTGGACTGGGTTTGCTCAAAGATGGGTTAAGATAACACAAGGTTGGGTCCAGTAGTCAGATCATTTACTGTATTTTTTGTACATCATACTAAAAAATCAAATTTGGTCCGAAATAAAAAGTTTTGTGGATTTCAAACTCAGTGTTGTGCTTATTCACTTGTACATAATTTCCTCATGGCCATTTAACCAACAAACTTAATTCAATTTAAAACCAACAATTTTAGTTTAACCGGTATTTGTTGTAGTTTTGACTGCCCACCTAGAGATGACCACATCTCGATGGCCGGCTTCCTAAAAATGACCACATTTTGAAAACCCAACAGCCAATACTACAACAAAATATGGTGAAACTGCTCACAATTTTATTTGAACATTAACTCAGCTGACAAATTTATGAAAGGCTAATTTTTCTAACTTTGTTGTTTGCAACCCTGAGTCTCACTGTTCATTAAGTACTACCTATTCAATCCAAAAAAAGTCATAGCATTTTTGCTGGCTAAAATTCACCTGAATCCTGGTTATTTGATCTTGGGATACAAGGATGAAGAGAGGGTCCCCCCCCTTAAAAAATGAACAGACCCCTACTGGGTTACAGGAGCTCTGAGTTGGCCTTGGATCATGAAAAGTTGTAAGCTATAAAGAAAAAACTAAGGCGGTGAAACAAATTAACATGCAGCATTTATTATCCTTCCAGGCTGGGTTGTTTAAAGCTGGTTAAGATAACCCAAGGTTAGTATGAAATATGAATTCAGATATGACAGTTTTAAAAACAAATTCATTTGAATTCCTTTTGTCTACAATTTGGTGATTTGATACTTAAAAAAAAGGGAAAATTATCTGACAAAATGCTTTTGATTAAAAGGAAAAAGAAACGCAGGTTAAAATCTAGCACTGCGTTAGTGCTAATCGGTCTTTGGAACAACTGGGCCCTGGTCTTTTTTTGGGTCCAATTCTAAATCACATAACCACTTCGAAGTGAGTCAATGGTACATAACCTGGGCATGTGTTACATTCCCCTTCTGTCATTTGATAATAGTAAAGCCTAGGGTCGCACAATGGGCGGGGATCTCCAATTACTAAAACTAAAAATTCAAAATGACACAGTAACTGTTGTATACAGTTACAGAGGGCCCACACTACCTCCCCTTTACATTAAGTAAATACACTACAACAAATCTACTGGACAAAGGTCCAGTAGTCAGATCATTTACTGTATTTTTTCTACATCATAATATTATTATTAAAAAGCTAACAATAACAAGGCCACCCACAGTACCTTAAATTTGGTAAAAAAAAAAAAAAAAAAAAAAAAAAAGGTTCTGTGCATTTCAAAGTCAGGGTTGAGATTATTCACTTGTACACAATTTCCTCATGGCCATTTATTCAAGAAAATTCACATCAAAACTGACAATTTTGTTCTTACCGCTATTAATTTTGTTCTAGTTTTCACTGACTATACCTAGAGATGACCACATCTTGATGGTAAGCCTCCTAAAAATGGCCACATTTTGAAAGCCCAACAGCCAATACTACAACAAATGGTGAAATTGCTTTGTATTTCATATCATTTGTGAATAGAAACTCAGCACAGACATGAATGAATAATTTCTTTGCTGCTCTTTACAACCCTGATTTTGAGTTCAATATGAACAATGTCTTTTTAAAACATAATATCTGAGGCATATTTCTTAAGCTATATGTCAGTGCTAGTGAGCAGTCATGGACTGCTGTTTTGAAGGGGCATCCGATAGCAAGATAGCCTTTCCAAAATCAATGAGCATTGGGTAGTACATATTGTTTACCTTTGTAAGAATAATGTTGTCACTCTTTATATCTCTGTGGGGGAAACCTGTATGAGTGCAAATGTTCTATAGCTTCACACAATTTCAGTACATTATGTTCCCGCAGAACACTGTGAAAGGGACATGAATTTCCTTAGCAGGGCAAAGCACAAAGAACAAGAAAAATAATATTGTAAAGATGGTAAAAATATAACCCAAGGAAGTACATGTGAGGTTTCTGTTTTGTGACATTTACCCCAAACAGATGGGGTATTGATGGATGCGAGCATTCAGTATATAAGCTTCAATTCTGTCATCTTGTGAAGAGGAAAAATGATTACTGTAAATAAATTGAGACCCACTGGAATACCCTGTAGCATTTCTTCATGCACAGACCACAAACAGCTTCCCCATGTTGAACCTGTATTTCATTGACCTCTTTATCTTTTGGAGAGTTCAGGTGATGCAACTCAATTTCAAGAACATTGGAAATAACTCCAGTACCACTCAAGGAAAAATCTGAAACAAATACACAAAAAAAGTCACTAAACCCACTAAAAATAACTGTTAATTCTACCTTTATTGATAATATTGTGAAATTAAATGAATTGTGTTACTTGTGTTGCCATTATCTTTATGAACATTATAAATACACATGTGGCACATTTTAGCATTTTTGACCTTTTGACTCAGCTTACATGTACAGCTGTATCATTATAAACTATTATAAACAAAACAACCTTGTATATGAAAACATGACAAAACAAAACAGAAAAAAATGACAGTAACGTACAGGGTGCAAAGAAAGTCATTTTTACAGCTTGCCATTCGGGCAAGCTGAAACTAACATTTACTAGCCCAAACGTCATTTCAACTACCCACAAAATTTTTGATTTAACAGTTCTTCTGTAAGGTGAATTCCTCAAACTGCATTGTACTTGCCCGTCGGGCAAGTGAAGAACAGAATTTACTAGCCCGATAGCAAAATCCGCTAGCCCCGGGCTATCGGACACTACTTTCTTTGCACGCTGAACGTATATAAAATGAAGGCTCCACCCTACCCCTGTCAAAATCAATGGTACATGTACAGGTATTACGCTCAATATGTCAATATAGCGCCAGAGGTAGTATAAATTACTCAAGCAATTAATCTTGAGCTACTTCTGTCAAATACCAATAAATTAGCATTTTAACATTGCATAACTACATATTTTGCTGACTTAACACCACTTAAATTTTTCAACAAGGCTTTTTTCAGCTGGATCACTACCACATATACGCACGCGACACGCGTGCTCATACATGCTACAAATGTAAATATGGATGCAAATGTAGTTTATTCCCGGTTATAACATATATGTGGCAGTAGAAGCACGATATACAAAGCAAAATACATCGACTTTACCTTTTAAATTTCGAACATCCTTGAGAAGAAATCCAGCAACATAGGCAATCTCTTCCTCCCGCCAAATCGCCAAAAGACCGCGCGCCCGATTTCCCAAGGATTTGCGCCTCAGTGGTGCTGGTCAGCGACAGTCTGCATAACCGTTCGAGAACGAGGCACAAATTCGTCGACCGTTAACGCGTTCCACTGCCATCGATTTGCCATCAGCTTTTACTTCGTACGTTTAACGCCATATTTATCAAGAGGTTTCGAATTTTCCTTCTTTGTGGGGTTGACTGTCGAGTATGGAGGAATCGGCCAGTCTTATTTGTTCGAATTTATCGAACGAATGTGTCCTCGAAGAACTTATAAAAATAATCGCTCGAACTCGAGGGAACTGCATACTTATAGATCCTTCGACGAAAATCCACCATGAAAGACATCTAGATATCTCCATCGGCGACGATCAAGTAGTAACGAGTGGATCCAAGAAAAGCAGCCGTTAGTACTTAGTAAATAGATTTCGGTGAATCGATGCTGTTTTAATTAGCAGACATTGTAAAACTAAGAGGCAGGAGAAATGTTGAGGACAAACAAATGCTGAGGGAGCAACTAATCGGGAGTAAAAGAAATGCTCAGTAAGTATAAGAAAGTTCGTTGTTACTGTTAAGCCGCTAATGATGCTATTTGATAATACCTACATTTGCATTCCAATATTCAGTAATCAACAAGGACCACCCCTACTCCTGAAACTTTATTTGTCCTGTTGTTGTAAAAAATACTGTAATCTTTTGTTTGGTTGTTCTCTTCAGATAAATGGTCTTGGAAAATTTAATAAGAATTGAAGCAAGCGTTAATTCCCCTCTATTAGGCCAAAATTAACCTTATCCTCTAGTGCCTACTTTCTCCAAAGGCTTTTCCGAAATTTAAAAGGGGAGTAAAGGCAGTGACTGCCATGGTGCTGAAAACATAGTGTAGCTAGAATTTAGATCATGGTACCCTGCTTTCACTGATTGTTTTTTATGATCACCCCATGTAAGGGATTCTGGAATCCGGGAAATTTTTGCTTATGGAATACAGAATTCGGGCAATTTTTGTTGCGGAATCCTAAATTCTGAGCTTTGAAACCTGAAATACAAGTCAAACGATTGGAATCCAGAAACCAAGTAATCCACTGAAAAAGGTTCCGGAATCCGCAGCGTGGAATCCAGAATCTAAAACTGTCTTGGATTCTCTCATATGAGGCAATTATAGTATACTGTATTTATTCGAATAAGCGCCCAACCTCGAATTAGCGCCCAGCCTCGAATAAGCGCCCACCCCACCCCACTCCCTCCCACACAAACTCAAATAAGACATAATAAGAGACCCTCCCGAAGACGGAGTTTTCTTCAGAGTATTTTACAGATTGGGCTGAAACCTTGCTTTGTTACTTCTTCGCTTTTTGTTATTACCATTTATTATTTTGTAGCAAAATAAACATACTACACTTGCTGAGAATGGCGAAAATTTAATAAGCGCCCAGCCTCGAATAAGCGCCCACTATCAAGGCCCAAAAATTTAATAAGCGCCCAGGGCGGTTAATTGAATAAATACGGTAATTAAACTTTTGTTCCCAAGATACACTGTAAGTGATGGCAATATTGCAGAAGAAGCAGGTTCATGAAGTTTTAAGTAATATGTCAATAATGTTGTTATGGTAGTGATGTTGTGGGACACTCACTATAAAATTAATACAATGATTTACCTGGAGTCAATTGTCTTGTTACAAAAGGGTTTCTCGCATTCATTTTTTCGTTTTGTTTTTGCTCAAAGAAGGTCTTAGTTTTAACAGGTACAGTGTAATCAGGATTATGATGACCGCTTGGGGTTAGATTTGAGACATTAAAGTTACGAGCCAGCAATTTGTTTAAACTAGTTAATTTTGATATCAGTTAACTCAGGAAATAAGTAAGTTTAGTCACCTAGTGTGACTGAGCCAGTAATAATACATGTAATATCTAATAGCAACCTTTTTTTTGCTATAAAAGGCTAGAATATTTAGACAGAAAAGGACAATAGTATTTTTCATGACAAGCATCTACAGCTTTAGTTTCAATATTAATGGTCTCAATTATGTATAATTTCTGTTTGTTGCAGAAAAAGCTGAAGAGACAACCCTTTTCCAGTCAACCTCTATTTCAAGAAGGATTGTTGTAAGTTCAAAGCTTGTATAATTGTGGAGTACATGTCTTCAGAGCAAGGCAATACAGACCAAGGAGATGACAAATCCGAGAAAAGTGCTTTGCAGGAGGCCTCTAGCATGGAGGAGTCAACAACTTAGCCTGTAAAAACCTCTTTGCCAAGCTGAACAGTAAAGCAAAATTAAAACAGTCACATGTAAGCTTGTCATTACTCAATGACGATAGAAAGGACGAATGGCTTCTCCTCAGAGCAGGAGGCACCAGATAATGCTCCTGAATTTGCTTTGTGATAAGGAAATATAAGTTAATCCAAGGCTCTTAAAGAAATTCCAGATTATTTATGACTGGTCATACTTACAGGTACATGTACATGTAGCTCTGCAAATACAGTAATCCTTTAATCACTCTCTGTTTATGACACTGTTTTTTAGAAAAAGATAAATCTGTGTAAACAGTACAAATCCTGATGGTGTTGATTTGTCCTGAGAATCTGGTGGCAGGTAGATCAAATTGGTTGATGTGATAAATTTTTCATTAGAATCCTTTGGCTATTGTTTGCAAGTAATGTACCAGTCAGCAGGTTAAAAAGGCCAAAAAGAAACATGTGTACATTAATTATTAATGTACACATGTTTCTTTTAAATCTGTTTGCTTAACTGCAGGCATTTGAGTTCTGCTGGCACCACTTCACAGTACATTTGTACCGATTACAGCAATTGCAACTGACCTGCTTGAACAAAAAAACAAAACAAATTTAGGTACACCCTGCTTTTTGTCATGATTTATTACGGAATTTTGCAAAGGATTGCAACATGACTCAAGAAAAAGAGTGATGAGAGACAGCAGTGTAGTTATTTTGCAGGCTAGCCAGATCAACCTTTTGTACTACATGTACATGTATACTGAGTTTAAAATAATTATTAGCTTCTTTCATTGGGACCAACTACAGTGACAATGGTAATGTTGACATGCTGTGGAATACTTATAGCTGGTCATTACTTTCATGACCCTCAATTTTCTTAGAACGGGGCAAGTACTAGAAGCTCCGGCTGGTGCTTCCTCTAAGAGCATATCCAATACCATACAGGAACCATTAGCAACGCAAATGAAGTTAAAGAAGTCTGATCTGAATTTGAATAGCTATATGTACCTAAACTATTTCTTAGTTTGCTAAATGCTATAACACAGTTGTTATACCAGCAAAAATTGTAAATTGGTAGCAAGAATTAGGCCTTTCATGCTAATAGAGCCTAAAGGAAAAAATGCCACCAGAATCAAATTTTGTTTAATCTGTAAATAGCAATAAATACAAAAATACTAATTATTTATTAGAATGGGTGTCTTGAGGGTTCCATTTCGTTCAAACAGGATTTGGTCCTTAGATACAAAAGTTTAAGTAAGAAATAGTCTTGTCATAAGTAAATATTGGTCCAAGGGTGAAAGGATTTTTAACCTGTTTCTGAGTTGCAAAAACCTAAAGAACTGAAATAGGTTTGAGGCAACTCTGAAACACCTACAGCTGTATGTAGAATATCTTACACATTTAGATGAAGAACACTTTTCTTATAATATTAATAGTTAGTAATGATCTGATAGAGCATAGAGTGGAGACAAGTAAACATCAACGAACAGTAAAATTGGGAATTAATATGAAGAGCTGTATGTACAGCTTTATACTGTAGTTTGTAATGTCTGTAATAATGTGTAAGCCACTTTGGTTTATGGAATAAATCATTTGAACATTAATGGGAGGTCACTGCTAGAATTTCTTTCAGTAACTTTAATGTTTGATTAATTATGGCCACTTGTTAAGAAACTGAAGTGAGCCATATTATAATTTAAATTATTTTTAAAATTTTATCGCATTTGCTACAACCCAAGCAAACTCGTTTAAACCTTGGAATTTACATTAATTTGCTACTGGAGAAAACATGCTCAATTTTATGGGTTTGATGACATTTGCTAACCAAATTAAAGTCAGAATTTGATTACATTTGCTACCTGAGCGAAAAATTGTACAATACTAACAGTTTGATCAGATTTGCTGCCCAAGCAACTTTGTTCAAAACTTGACTTTTGACCACATTTGCCGCTACAAGCAAAATTTTGTGTTTGATCAAATTTGCACACCCTAGAAAATTTGTTCAAAGTTTAGGTTTGCTAACATTTGCTTCGTGAGCAAACATGTTTAATACAAAGAGTTTGGTTGCATTTGCCATGCAAAGCAATCTGGTTCAATTATGGAAATTTGATCACCCATGATAACCCAAGCAAACATTGTTCAAATTAGATACTTCGCTCACATTTGCAAAGCTGCGTAAACGTTCTGAAAATAACAGGTTTACATGCTTTTACATCTAAAGCAAAAGCTGTGCAAAACAGCAGATTTGCGCTATCATTTGCGTAATGTGCAAATATAGTTCAAAGAAACATATTTGCCTACACATTTGAACCATCTGCAAATGACCCTCAAATCCACGGCTGCCCATTATCTTTGCACCAAGATGTAAATGTTGTGCAAATGTGGCATTTACCGTCATTGCTACGGATAGCAAATCTAGTGCAATATCAGTCTTTGCTCTTGCGCAAAATTGTGCAAATGTGGTATTTGCTACACATTTGCTGTAATTTGGCTACCCTAGTAAATCCATTTTTTCGTCCAGTGCTTCATAGCACAATAGGCTACAATAGCAACAATACAACTTGTTAAAAACACCCTTAATGTTAGCTTTAAGATAGAACTTTTAGCAATTCAAAAAAAATTAGGTAGGATTCAGAGCCATTTTCAGATTTCAAATATTTGGGCATGCTTCAGCAATTTATGTTAAATTCGAACCTCGATTGCTCTTCCGAAGGTTTAGGCAACCTTCGAGTAAATGTTCGAACTCCTTTGGGTATGCTTCGAAAATCTGTGTAACACTCGACCTCGATTAATCTTCAGAAGGTTTCGGAAATCTTCGGAAACCTTTGGGTGGCTTTCATTTGTCTTTGGAAGACCTTGATTTTATTAGGGCGTTTTGGAAAGGCTCCGAATGATCTTCGGTGATCCAGCCAGGAAAGTTATACGGTATTACTGGCAACCCATAGCTTGGCCTTCTTCTCAGCGACCGCTAGGTGTAGGACTAACACGTGCGCAGGTTCCTATGGTCACACACAAAATAATCCATTGTGAAGGTCTGGCAAGAACAGATTCAATCAGTGATCTTGCTTGTTTGGTTTTGAATAGCAATAGTAACTCCCGTACGAGTTTTAACTGATTCATGAAGCAATTTCAATTTTATACGAAAGTAAACCGCAAACGGCTTGCCAAGTTCCTGGCAGAATAAATGAAAATAGTTCCTTGATTTTCATTCTCATTAAACAGGAACGTCTTACCATGGAGAAAGTGGAGAAAATACTTGAGGCCTTAAAACTCTCCAAGGAAGCCGGAAACAAAGAAGCGGAAGGGAATTCTTATATCGACCTCGGGAGCGCCTACCACGATCTCGGTCAACATGAAAAATCCATCGAGTATTTTGAAAAATCTCTTTCGATTTGTAGAGAAACCGGAAACAAAGCTGGAGAATTGAGTACATGCCGCAAGCTTGGAAGTGCCTATGGTTGTCTTCACAAGCATAAGAAATCCGTCGAGTGTTTCGAGAAAGCGCTATCGTTAAGCAAGGAAGTTGGAGACAGGGGAGAAGAAGGGAAAGCGCACAGAAATCTTGGTGCCGCATTCTATAGTCTTGGTCTGCCCGATAAGTCGATTGAGCATATTGAAAATGCACTTATAATCAGTGTAGAAATTGGCAACAAAAAGAAGGAAGGAAATTCATACAACGCATTTGGTCAAGTGTATTACTCTACTGGTCACTATGACAAGGCGATATTTAACTTCGAGAAAGAGCTGAAAGTAAGACAAATACTAGAAGACAAACGCGGTCAGGGGCGATCTTACAATCTTCTTGGCAATGTTTATCATGCTCTCAGTCAGTATGAGAAATCCATCGATTGCCAAAAGAAAGCTCTTCAGATAAGCGAAGAAACCGGAGACAAGAAAGGGGAAGGAGATGCCTACAACAGCCTCGGCGACGTGTACCGTGCTCTTGGCGAATATGATATATCGATCGGGTACTTGAAGAAAGGTCTTGAAATAAGCAAGGAGTCCCGCAATAAGCCAGGAGAAGGAATGGCCTACAACAGTCTTGCGACATTGTTTCTTGCCCTTAGTGAATATGAGAAAGCGATCGATAACTCGACGAAGGGTCTTGAAATTTGTACAGAGGTAGGAAACACACGCGCGAAAAGCAAATGTTACAGCAACATTGCTACAGCATATCATGCTCTTGGCCAATCCGAAAGGTGTCTGGAGTATTATGAAAAAAGTCTCGACATCGCCCAATCGCTTGGAGACAGACAGGGAGAAGGAACAATGTACAATAATCTCGGTACATTGTTTTATGATCTTAGCCAATACGAGAAATCGTTACACTATTACCAGAAAGCGATTGAGGTCCACAAAGAAATAGGAGACAGACAAGGACAAGGAACAGCTTACCTAAACCTCGGTGACGTACATGATGCTCTTGCTAATCATCAAGAGTCACTCGACTTTTTACAGAAATCTCTTGAAATCAGTCAAGAAATCGGGGATAAACGGGCTGAAGGGGCGTCGTACAGCAGCATCGGAAGTGTGTATAATTCCCTTGGCCAGTTTGAGAAGTCCATTGAATATCAGACGAAAGCCCTTAAAATCTATGAAACGATTGGGGAAAAGCGAGGGCTGGGAGACTCGTACAACAAACTAGGTAGCGTGTACAGTGATCTCCAACAGTACCAAGAGGCATTGGCTTGCTACGAGAAAGGACTTGAGATAAGAAAAGCGATCGGTAACAAACACGGAGAAGCAGCATCCTACAACAACTTTGGCAGCGTCTACGGCGAACTTGGCCACTACGAGAAATCAATCGAGAATCACGAGAAAGCGCTGGTTATCAGGAAAGAAACTGGCGACAAACGAGGGGAAGGGACATCTTACAACAACCTCGGTAGTGTATACAGCAAGTTACAGCAGTATGACAAAGCAATTGATTATTTCAAGAAAAGTCTCGAAATCAGTGCAAAAATTGGCAATAAGCTGGGAGAGATGGCATCCTATAGTCACCTGTGTCTTGTATGGTACGCTCGTGGGCAATATGGAAAGGCGATTGAGTGTGAAGAAAAAGCACTTGCATTAAAAGAAGCCATTGACGACATACGTGGAGTAGTTATCTCGTGCGTCAATCTTGCAAGTATTTACCATGCACTTGGCCAATATGAAAAATGTATCGGGCAATTTAAGAAAGCTATTCAAGTCAGCGAATCCACGGGTGACAAGCAACAACAAATACAATTGTACAGCAATCTCGGTGATGTGTATAATGCTTTGGGACACAAAGAGCAGTCACTAGAATTTCACGAGAAAGCCATCGAAATGTGCAGAGAAGTTGGAGACAGAAAAGCAGAGAGTACCTCCTATCACACATTGGGAAGTATTTGCCACGCCCTACACCAGTTTGACAAATCTATCAACTATTATAAATCCAGCCTTGAAATTCTGAAGACCCTTGATGACAAACATGGCGAGCATAAAACACGCAGTGCCCTCGCTAATGTGTATGAGGCTCTAGGCCAGCATAAAGAAGCGATTGAGTGCCACAAGGAAGCCCTCAACATTGGCGAAACACTGTGTGACAAGGAGAAAGAAGAAGCATCATGTAGCAAGCTCAGTATTCTGTATAAGGCTCTTGGCCAGTACGATAAATCTATCAAATACAGAGAGAATGCTCTGGAAATCTGTAAAGCTCTGGGATATAAACCATTAGAAGGAAGATCGTACGAGCTTCTTGGTATCTTGTATCATGCTGTCGGTCAGTTTGAGAAGTCGATTGAGTGCGCAGAGAAGGCAATTGAAATCTTTAGAACCACTGGTCGCAGAGGGGCTGAGGGAAGATCATACAGCCAGCTTGGAAATCTCTATTTTGATACTGGCCAGTATGAGAAGGCTGTTGAAAATCATAAGAAGAGTCTTGAAATCCGGGAAGCCATTGGTGACAAGAAAGGAGAGGGAACCTCCCACAACAATTTAGGCTCCGCATATTGTGCACTCAATCAGATCAAGAAGTCTATTGAATCCTGTCATAGAAGTGTTGAAATCAGGAAAGAAATTGGCTACAAAGAAGGGGAAATAACCTCCCACAATAACCTCGGTATGGTTTATCTACAACTTGGCCATCATGAAAAGTCAATTGAGTGTCAAGAGAAAGCGCTTGAAATCAGCAGGGAAATTAAAGACAAACAAGGAGAAGGAACGTCATACAGCAACCTTGGCACTGTGTATAATGCTAAAGGGGAATATGAGAAGTCGCTTGGGTACGAAAAGAAAGCACTCGCAATCTATAAAAAGGGTGGCGATAAAGTGCGAGAAGGAACTTCTTACAACAACCTTGGCATATTATATTACATTTTTGGTCAACATCAGAACTCCGTTGACTGCTTCGAAAGGGCTCTCAACATCAAGAAAGAATTCGGAGACAAAGCAGGGCAGGAATCTTGTCACAGCAGCCTGAACCTTTTGTATAGTACTGCCGGCGAGCATGAGAAGGCTATTGAGAATCAAGAAGAAGCCCTTCAAATTTGCTCAGCAGTCGGCAATAGAGAAGGAGAGTTACGATCTCACGATGCTCTTGGTACAGCAAATTATTTTTTTGACCATTTAGAAAAATCAATCCAACACCAAGAGAAAGTGCTTGAATTCAGTAAGGAAGTTGGAGATAGGAAAAGAGAAGGAACATCTTACAGTAATTTAGGCACAATCTATCATGCTCAGCAACAATTTGTGAAATCGGTTGAGCATCAAGAGAAAGCTCTCAACATCTTTAAGGCGATTGGAGACAAACATGGAGAAGCAGCATCATGCAGCAACCTTGGCATTACTTGTTGCGCCCTTGGTCAGTATGAGAAGTCCCTGTCGTATCATGAAAAAGCGTTGGGGGTCTGTAAAGAAATTTGTGACACAGGAGGAGAGTTGAGATCTTACAAAGGTCTTGGCAGTGCTTATCGTCTTCAGGGCCAACTGGAGAAGTCTATCTTGTGTTACACAAAAATTCTGGAGGTCAGCAAAGAAATTGGAGACAAGCAAGAAGAAGTAGCATCCTACCAGAATCTATACACCTTATGCAATGCACTTGGAAAACGCGAGGAAGCTGCCATTTACCTGGAGAAAGCGCAGGAGATCAAGAACGACTCTGGAGAGAGACAACAGGAAGATCAATATGACGAACGACCTGCTCAATGTGTGTACTACGTTTGCGATCTTTGCAAAAAATCTGTTGAGCCTGGAAACTGTTCTATTGGAATCATCGATGCAGTCAGAGGAAGAGATCCTATTCCGAGGGAATCTGGCGTGCAAATTGAGATGTCGATCAAATATCACGAGAGAGAAATGGAAATCAGTAGAGTAACGGGTGACAAATGGGGAGAGGGAAGATCCTACCGCGCTCTTGGATACGATTACATCACTCTTGGCCACTATAAGACATCTATTGAATATTTCGAGAAAGCACTTGACATAGGCGACGTAATTGGCAGCAAGAAAGCTAAGGCACACTCATACAGTGGCCTTGGTAATGTGTATCTTGCTCTTGGCCAGTACGATAAAGCTCTAAAGTACCAGGAGGAATCATTCAAAATTGATGAGGAGATCGAAGACGAGAAGGGAGAAGGAGCATCCTTCACGAACCTGGCAGGCATATACCGTGCCTCCGGCCAATATGAAAAAGCAATTGAATATCAAAACCAGGCACTCGAAACCTGCATTGAAATACAAGACAGGGAAGGGGAGGCTACATCATATAACAACCTCGGTAGCATATACAATGCTCTTGGCCAATATAATGACTCAATACATTTTCAGGAGAAAGCTCTTAAAATCAGAAAAGAAGTAGGCGACAGAGAAGGAGAAGGAATTTCTTATGTCAACCTTGGCAATGTTCAATATGCTCTTGGCCAACATGAGAAGGCTATCAACTACCTGGAAAGAGGACTTGAAATCTTCAAGGAAACTGGATCCAAGGGAAAAGAACACCTTGTTTTATACGGCTTAGCCATGAGCCATTTTCACGAGAAAAGTTTCTCAAAAGCTTCCGACTATTTCTTTGGGAGCATTAAAGGTCACGAAAGTGTAAGAAAGTCTCTTAAAGATGAAGACAAGCTCTCATTAGATGATCAAAGCATTTCATTTTACAAGGGACTTACCTTGATGTTGATTTCTCTTGGAAAGGTAGATGATGCCCTCTGTACAGCCGAACGAGGACGAGCTCGTGCACTTGTAGACCTGATATTCTCTAATTTCGGAATCCAGGAGATCAACAAAACAAATGAATTTACTTTGAGCTCGTTAGCAAGCCTCTTAGAAAAACAGCGAAGTGATTTTCTTTTCATTGGCGTCATAACGAAGCAAATCTATCTCTGGTTCATGGAAAAGGGTGGCAAAATAAACTTCAAGATTGGAACAGAGCTGTCAGCAATTGAGAAAGAAGGAACGTCTTTGCAAGATTTGGTAACGAGCACTTTGAGATCCTTGCCAAAAGACGACAGAGAAGAATACGAAGACAGATCACTATCAGAAATCTATGAAGACGAATCGTCAATAGCAGGGGAGCAAAGTGAAGAAACCAGTCAGCACCATTTCCGGGGTAACGAAGAAGAAGAAAGAGAGGCCAATCTAAAGAAATTATACCAAATGATAATTGCGCCTGTTGCTGGTCTCATCCAAGGTCCAGAGATTGTCATAATCCCAGAAGGAGGATTGTTCTTGGTCCCATTTGCAGCGTTGCAAGATTCCAGTGGAAAGCACTTGTCCCAAACCTGTCGAATTCGCCTCATTCCCTCTCTGACATCGCTTCAGGTCATTCAAAGTTTCCCACAAAATTACCATTCTCAAACTGGGGCACTGATTGTGGGAGATCCGACAGTTGGCCTTGTAGAGTTTGATGGAAAAGTCGGAGTTTTGAAACCTCTACTAAATGCCAGAACTGAAGCAGATATGGTATGCCGGTATGTTAGGCCACCATACTTTAAGCTCATTGGAGAGCAAGCGACCAAGGGTGAGGTGTTAAAAAGAATCCAGGAGGTAGGGTTGGTGCATATTGCAGCCCACGGTGATGCAGAGAGAGGAGAAATTGCCCTGGCGCCAAACGTACGTGCCACGGAAGTTGTAAAAAAGGAAGATTTTATGCTGACAATGGAGGACATAGCAAACGTCGGCATAAGGGCCAAGCTGGTAGTACTCAGCTGCTGCAATAGTGGTCATGGTAAAGTCATGACAGCCGAGGGAGTTGTCGGAATAGCTCGGGCGTTTCTTGGATCTGGTGCTCGCTCCGTTCTGATGTCATTATGGCCTGTTAACGATGCAGCTACCAAAGTCTTCATGAACGTGTTCTACAGGAGTTTAATGCGCGAACAAAAGAGTGCAAGTGAGGCTCTTCACCTGTCTGTCAAGAAGTTAAGAGAGTCAGCAATTTACAAGCATTTCAGGCACTGGGCTGCTTTTGAACTTCTTGGAGATGATGTCACATTTGATTGACCTCTGTGTTTGGGGTGAGTATCTCTAGTATTAGGAGTAATTTTTACCTCGTAGTCTATCACAATTTTCCTGCTGGCGTAACCCCATTGTCTTCGAAATTTAATCTTATGGGGGCGATTGTCACCAATATGGACACGTATGAACCAGACCTTAAAAGTGTCTAATTTCACCATTTCTTGGGTTTTCTTATAGATGAAAGCGCAACTAAAGGTTTCTTTGATTTCGGCATACAACGATGAAGTTGTTCAGCATGGTGATTGATGGGGATCCACAGTCGTCTACTTCTCTGCCATCCTCTGCCGAACTGACAGTAAATAGATGCTACTTTAAAAACACTTCTTAGCGGGTCGAATAACCGCGTGGATGCTTCTGGGAGGGGAACATCAGGAACTGAACACAACATCTCATTTTAATGGAGCAGATATTGTCGGAAAGTTGTTCGAATCTTGTGGAGTACAAAAAGAACGTAAACTCAGACCTTTTTAGAAACCTTGTTCACTCTACTTTATCTTTATGTATGATAGCCACGCTAACAATGTAGCTTTCATTTCAGTGTACCAGTAAACTACATGTAGGACAGGACCACATCAGCCCTTTGGCTCAATTATCAAATGAAATATAATGATGATGATGACGATGATGCCCTCAATTTTGGGACGTTCCATTTTTTATCAGCACCACCTCTAAGGATGACGGGCTCTTGAATAGGGGGGTCAGATTATTTCTTCGAACGAGCCCGACAAAATGTGGACCCTTCGGACAAATTTGCCAAAGGTACCGAGCAAAAAAGGTACCCTTCGGATTTTATTTTTGAAAGGGCGCCGACCAAAATTTGAGGGTGCGGATTCCAGTCATCCCTAGGGGGGACCGTGCAGATAAAAAAATTGAATGTCCTTTTCCCCCACAACCACATGCATTTTTCATAGGGTCATGTATTTTCAACTCACTCTGTTCACTTTTCGTTGTATATGACATTGTTATAAAACGTAGTACACCCATTTTGTGTCCGAATGAGCTTTAAAGCATTGAAAGTCGAACACTTAAGCTTACAGGTTCCAGATCCAGGAATCATTCTAATAGATCTTCTTTTAGCTGCATCATGGCGAGAACATGGTTTTTAGAAGCTCTTATCTCATGAGAATTTAGCTGGAAGAAAGTCCACATCTTACCTAGTGTATGGGAAAGACACGCTTCACGCCATGCTGAAAGATACACGATTTAAACCATGTGGGCTCACTCGATTTGCTAACCAATAATTCCACACGGTCGCCATCTTGAAAATTAAAAGCATATATCGTGTAAGCATACATGAATAGTACCTTACTCACGAACACCAGGGAACTGCAGCCTAGGAACCTTACCGAGTAGTGGTGGGGGCGTGGGTGAGGGCTAACAAGCGGTGCCATTGGAAACATCTTGGATTGCTGCAAATAGTTTCAATTGTGGGATGAATTTGATGTCACTGAATTATTTAGTGCGTTAACTCGCGGGAAAAGCCTGTTCCAGACTCCAAGATAGTGTTGTGCAGTCCCGCTTGGTTTGTTTTATTTTCGCGACGTCCCAAATATATGAGAGCCTGGCACAGGCACAGGGAAGCTGTTCAAGTTCAGGTGCAGAGGCTTATAAGTAGTGGTGTAACGATTAATCGAATTCTCGATTAATCGCGATTATGACCGTTCGGTTCGATTCACGATTCTTTGCTTCCATGTTTCGATTTTGATTCGATTTTTGCATACCTTTTCCAGGGTGCCCTCAGTAAGTTATTACGTTGTAAAATCAGAAACCAGAACTCTTTAAAATGTGCGTTTTTGGTTGACGAGCAAAGACGATTGCAGCTCGTGCCCCATTTTGTGTTACCTGGAAAAATGCTGTCCTTTGACCACCCCTTGAGAATTCCCGACTAAGGCAAACCATGTGCGAAACGCTCTTTGTCAGGTTCTCAAACTTGGCTACGAACAACCAAGCGGCCGCGAATCCTCTTGTGCCTTTTACTATTCTCAAGTTGGGGGTTTAGGGTTGCATGTTGTTTACATTACGCATTATGTTATAACAATTACGAAACATTTTCGAAATAATCGAAATCGAAAGGCAATAATCGAAATCGAATTGAATCGCAAGGAATATTTAAATTCCAACTAGTGGTCTATTATCAATGCTGCGTGCTCGGATTGGTTGAACCGCTGCTGGGCTATATGTTATGGCCCACTAGTGCGAAAAGCGCTGGGTTTTTGGCGGCAAAAAGGATTAAAGTCTAGCTAAACTTGTTTTGTCTCCATATTTTTGACCAACTAGTTGGATTTTACTAAAACAATTATTCCTCTCGCCCTCATGGCCTCTGAGTCAATAGCCCATTCGGCCTTCGGTCTCAAGGGCTATTGACTCAGAGCCCATTCGGGCTCGAGGAAATCGTTACACCCCTACTTATGAGTCAACTCCCACGTAAGCGACCACCCTTGGTGCAGGACAAAGTGGCTGGCTTACAGGAGGTCGTCGTCTACGGGAAAAATCAGGTAAATAAGCTAGCTTAAGCTCAAACTGATCAACTGATTAGCATAATAGAGAGTTAAAGCTTCACGTGTACGGCAAACGGCAGATTCAAGTTGAGAATTTCTCAAAACAGAAAATAAGCAGATAAAAACAACTCAATACAATTCTCATGGATGAAAAATTGCGTGAAAATACTACTTTAGGTGTAGAAATAATGAACAGTAAACGACAAGTAGAGGAAACTTGGTCACGTGGTACAAATTCGCGTTTGCGGTTTGACGTAAATGCGAATGCTTAACCTCGATCTCTCTAATTACAAAAAATTATTACCTTAAAAGCTAAAACTTAGGCAAATGGACAACTGGCAATAATCTTTTACACGAAACTGTTGAACTTTGTGCATAACATTTTGCATAAATGTTACAATCCACTTTTTACCTACAGATCGTAATACAGCAATCTTTTTTGTAAGTCAAATGTCAGCACGTTTGGTCAGCGCTATCAAAAACTGATGAAACTGAACTTTTGTGACATTCGAGGAATGGTTTTCTTACAGTCATTGGTGATCATGCCAGATGGTGGCTTACGGGGAACAGAAAACAAAATATGTCAAATTGCTGGTTGAAAAAGTGGTCGAGGTCGTTAAGAAATTTAATCAGTGGTCGCTTACGAGAGAGTTTTTGAAACAGCATTTGACTGAGAAACAAAACGGTTATGTGTGGTCGCCGTCGCCAATGAGAAGTGCTCACTATGAGAGAGTTGACTGTATTACCTCTTTTCCACCCATATCTGAGTCCCAGGGCTCTTTGGTCAGTGGGTGATCACACTCACTCTCCGCGACACAATCTCGTACCCAGAGTCTTCTGGCTTTTGGTCAGTGTGGCAACGCCAGCAAAGCGTTGTCCCGCTGACCGTTGCCCCCGCGACTAAAGAGCTCGAAGGATTACTTCTCCCCAGAAGTCTTTGCGCCGAAAACTTGTTCCTTTGCAATTTTCACAACTGGTAATTGCACAGGTTCAAAGAGTACTTCGGACTTCATCAACAACTGAAATTTTTTTTACAGTTCAAGAAATGAAGATATTCAGTAAACAACGTTAACTGCATATAAGAACCTACAATTTTCGAGATCAGGCTGAACAGGTTCTTATATTATTTCAGGGTACTTTTTGACAAATCAAGCCGATTAGGTTGTTAATAGGTTCTTAATTTTCAGAGTTTGTCCTAGCATAGTCATTCACAGAAATATTACACCACTAGTACATAATGGTTTAAAACTAGTTTAAATAACAAACATATGCTTGCCAAGCTAAATAATAATAGTCAGAATGCTTGCTGACTAAACAATAACAGGCTGAACAAACATTTTAGGCTATTTATATTGTGCACATCAGAACCTCTTTTCCTCGCCAGGCCGAACAGGTTTTTATAAACTTGAGTATTACTAGTGGTTCCTGCGAGCAGAGGGTTTAGTTATCATATTACTTAATTCTTGGAACAAATATTGGGAGATTTTCGGTACTAATGTCTAAATTTTATGATACAGTAGAGGCCACGGGTATTGCAGCACTTACACGCGCGTAAATTGCCACTGAATTGCGTGAAATATGGCGGATATCCACGCAAAATCCACGCAACTCTAACTTTCCGTTGCTACGAACGTCATGTTTTGTAAATCAGCGATTCATGTTATGTATTAAAATTCCTTGGCTCTTCGCTGAAAAGGGGTCCATTTTACTTGACACGGCGACGTACTGTTGTTTTGAAATAAAATCAGTTTTTCGGACTTCAGTACACTGTGTTTTTTTTTTCGACTATGCGCTTAAAACATGGTTCGAGTTATCGAGGGCCGGGTAACATCATAGAGAAATGATCTGAACGGAAACAAAAATTACTTCGAGTTAGCGAGGGTAAAATTACAGTTACTGTTTGAAGGAAATTCAGGGGAAATCGACTTGACAGGCCCGGCCAGGGGTTTTGGGTATACGGTATCCCAGGCCATTTTAATTCAGGTATATGGTATTTTTTGGTCAAAATTCGGGTATAAAGTATTCAGTTTTTCCTGAATTTTAGGTATTCGGTATATGGTACAGAAATCACTGAGAAATGTATAATTCATTTCTCAGTTTTATTATCGCTCTAATGCTCACTAGAAATAGTGCGGATGCTCGAAATTGTGTTCAAGCCCTAATCAAATACTTACAAAACCTGTGGCTCTTTCTGTCAGCCTTCAATCTGACTGGGACAACCACAAGGTTAAGTTTTGATGAGACAGTTACCCGCGTCCAGCATTACTACGCTTTTCACGAAGAAGCCTCGTTGAAAGTTCACGGTATCAAGGGCTCAACTTCCCAGACCCAAGGACCAGACTGAACACTATCTGCTACTTCACTGAACTCCGTGAAGATGATACTGGAAGGCCTCGCTAGACTGAGGACAAAGGTGATGGAACTCAATCCAAACTTCATTCAACACTTAGACGTTGAAAGCCTTTTAACTCTCTTTGTTGAAAACTTCTTATCCAGTATGAGAGGAGGTATTTAAACACGGACACTCCCATGATGTTCGACATTTTCTTGCGTTTTCCCCGATGTATTAACGAATTATTAAAACGTGTCACAGGTACGAGCTAGAGGTACTTTACAAATTCAGTGGCCTCGTACTACCTTCAGCCTACTTTAGGTGATGTTGATATAAACTTGTGCGACCTTGCGAAATTACCGAAGCCTTTGTCTGGTTGCTTATCCAAGAAGCAATTGAATGAGATCCGTCAGTGGTTACAGCAGTACGGTGAGAGCGTCAGACAGAATACCACGAGGAACTTTTCAACAAAAGACAAGCCAGGCACCTTGCCATTGAACCTCTACGAGTCTGCACCCCCGGAGCAACATTCAGTTGGCTTTGACGTGCTTCACAATGAAGACATCCCCGTTCATCACCAAGATACCAGCACAGCTCGTAACATTGTCATCGCCCAGTCTACGTATGTTGTAGTTTCCCGAATATACAAACCGCGTTCTGCTCCAAACAGCCCACTGTATATTACAAAACTATTAGAGGATGTGGTTGATGACTATGACAGTGCTCGTTATGTAACAACTCTCTTTTATACCCAAGATGTTGTAGATCCTCTCCTATTGACTACTTCGGGAGAAGAGCATGTCATCCCAAAAGAGGGCATAAAAGGGGTTGTAAGCAGTATTACAGTTGTTGACAATGAAATTGTTGAAATAGATGAGGGGGAGTATTATCTGCTCCTGGCTTTGGTGAACGGATCCACTGACACCACCTATCTCAATCAAGATGATGAAGAACCTTTTGCAGAGAGCGTTGACGGACAAGGTGACGAGGATTCGATCACCATGGACGCTGGCCGACCGCAAAGGAAGCGGGAGAGGACAGTGAGCCAGGAGTTTCTCTTTTATTAAGATCTAACTTGTTCATTTTCAGGTATTTAGTATTCTGTTTCAAAATAATTTTAGGTATTTAGTATCACACATTTTACGATTTTGAGGTATATTGGTATCTTGGGGGCAAAATAGCGGGTATATTATATTGGTATCCCACTACCCCCCTGGCCGGGCCTGACTTGACTATAAAAGCGCGATGTTCGAATTAGCGAGGGTTAGAGCAATCGGGACTAGAAAAATAGATTTCGCACGCGATCGGCACTAAATTTTACAGACCACACAAAGTTTCCATATATAACATCTGCTTTTATTCTAACATTACATGTAACTTAACATTAATTGTATATCTACGCGATGTTTGAATTAGCGACGAGCATTCCTTAGTTGTTGCTTAGAAATTACAATGCGTTAGTAAACTTGGATACAATTTCACTCCGGAAGTCGAGTTTAGTCGTTTCCGCGTGCTTTCCCGTCGTCATATAACGTCCCCTTCACGGTTCTTTTGCTAAATCAGTCTAGTAAATACTTCAGTAAGACGTCTATACAGTACCGAAAAAGTCTGTATAACAAATTGCAAGAATTATTAAGAAGACCGTTTTATGGTGGTGTTCAGGTATTTATGGTATCATCTTTTGTATTGGTAACGAAAGATTTCCAAACTGATCACTAGTTTGGGTATACCCTGTCCACAAAACCTCCGTTTACTCTTGTGAAAACACAAAACCGTCGGAGATTTATTGACCGCTAGCTTAAGGTGGCCGTAGAGATGGGTTCCTTCCGTCTTTTTCGAGCAAGAAAAAACGTCTGTGGACAGGCTAGTTTGGGTGCAAATAGTTTGTGAGTAGTATTGCAGGTCGCCTGCGAGCCAGCTCTCCCGCGGCTCTTTTTTGCTTGGCTCGAGTCAAGCATCAACAGGAGAGCTTGCTCACGGGCTATATTACGGGTGAAAAGTAAAATAGTTTTTGTGTGGTTCCTGCGAGCACGTTTCGTCTTGAAAGCCCAGTCCGAAAAAACATCCCAATAAACAGGAAACCCATAAAGCAAAGTGGTTTGTATTTAATGGAGGGGGGAGCTGTGCATTGTAAAGGGTAGGGTTGTTTATTGGGTCAGGGATCTCACAGAAGTCCAGTCTCACCTATATTGACTCATTTAAATAATTTATTTGGTAATTGTGATAGTACATTTAGAGCAACGGATAACTTTTTAAGGCCTGGCTACTCTACCTAATACTAGCGACTTTACGATCTGATGACGCGACGGCAGCGAAAACGTCGCTTCAAAAATGAATTCGCGTTTTTCGGTCTTTATCGCGATTATTCCAACTCACTTACTTCGTCAAATGTAGGCGAACCCTCCCGGAGTTGAATTTCTCAGAACTATATTCAAGTTTAGAAAGAGAATAAAATTTCTCGTCGCTTGTTTACGTCCTCCCTAAAAAGTAAAATTAGGCAATTTCACGTCGTAGTCGCGCAAAAACGGCAAAGAAATGTACAAAAAAGTGAGATGCACGTGCAGTTGTTGTTTTGCCTACTAAACCTATTGTTGTTTTTGGCGTTCTCGTTTCTGTCGCGTCGTGGGATCGTAAAGTCCCTACTGTTGAGGCAACGCTGTTGGACAAAAAAATGTTTAGTTTTAAGCCGCGCCTCCGATCTTACATTTTGCTTCTTGGGTGCAAGAAATAGTTATTGAATCAAGTCTCAAACAATCTTTCTTTCGGAAGGCCTTTATACAGCCGTGGCCAATCTTTGCGAGTTTAGATACATGTAATAAGTGGCATCGTTCCCGTGACAGTGGGGCCGTTTGTACATCATAACGGGGACACATCGTCTTTACGTACCAGTGAATGGTTCATTCAAGCTGACTAGCTAGCGTTGCCATGCGTACAAAGCAGGGGCACCCAACGAGAATATAGTTCAAAACCACTTAAACATAGCATTATCAAATGTATTTTAGTATTTAAACTGTAGATATAGGCATATTTTTATCCCCTAAAATTTTTTCATCTGTTAGGATTTCCTAGCTGAAAGTCTGGTGATCCGAAAATTATAGGGATCAAAACTTACCTTTTCTAAAATATTTGCCAGAAAATAGGTTCCCGAAAATTCTAGGTGAACTTGTTAGGGTAAAAATTAGTTAAAAATGGGCAGTTATACCATTTTTTATATGTTCGAAAATCCTAGGAGAGGCATGCAAGCAAGAAATTTTACAACAAATGTTCCGAAAATTCTAGGTCTGAAATCGTCTTCCGAACAGATATTTTTCAGAAAATTGTCGTTGGGTGCCCCTGACAAAGCAGAAAGTTGGGGGCAAGTGCAAATTAAATGAGGAGGGATGGGTGAGTTGTTTTTCGCCTTAAGTTTCGTCCTCTCCCCCACTCCACCTTGGTTTTTTTCTCTCGCCAAAACGTCGACGCTTTTCGTACATATGGTAGTGTCCAGGCTTAGAAGCATCTTGACTGACCTTGGTCATACAACAACAGTCCATATCATTACAATCCATATTCCATACTAAAAGGAACACTCGTTCTCAGATAGCGAATCGTTGTCACCGAGAAGGACTCCCAGAAAACCCACTGAAATGTTTCATCAAGTATTATATCCCTAAACCACTACCTATTCTAATCCCCTGGTCCTTATAAATGTTTAAGCTTCACTTTGCACGGGACCAAGATTGATATGCATTTTATGCTTCAGCGTCACAATCTGCTCCTCAGATTCCTGGCTGCCTCGCACCAAAGCTGTGGCTGTATGCTTGTAGTCATACTGCATAATCATCGAGAACTGTAATAATAAATACAAAACGTCAAGAACCTTATATCGGAGGCTATTGAGAACAGTATGACTGGAATTCACTGTCAAATGTTCCTAAAAACGCTCAAATAGGTGACAAAATTGTTAAGGCAGTTTCCTTCGAGGGGTGTATTTCGTATTCAAAAGCTGAAAAGAAGGAACGGACACTTTTGTGGCACTAGGTGTTACGTGGTTAAATATATTTGACTGATTCAAACACAGCGACAAACCAGTGAGAAGTGACGGATCTTTATTAGATCTATATGAGACCAAATATAGATCTTCGAAGCCTAGCAAAAACGACACACTGATCCTTACAGTAAGGAGAAGAGACTGAGGCAGAAATGAGACAGAAACACAACACAACGGAATACATTTAACAATTATTCCTCGAGCCCGAATGGGCTCTGAGTCAATAGCCCATAAGGCCGAAGGCCGAATGGGCTATTAACTCAGAAGCCATAGGGGCCAGAGGAATAATTGTTTTAGTAAAATCCAACTAGTTGGTCAAAAATATCGAGACAAAACAACTTTAGCTAGTTAAAGCTAGCCTTTTCGTTATTTGGCGCCAAAAAGCAGGCGCTTTTCGCTACTAGTGCGCTATGAAATATAGCCTAGTAGCAGTTCAACCAATCAGCTACGACGCAGCATTGATAATAGACCACTAGTTGGATTTTACTAATGTATGATATCTTATGTGTATACTACATATATGTACTACAAGGTGTTATGGGTAACACGTCTAAAAACAAGAATTGACGAATGGAAAATGGCCAAACAAAAATCTATTCGGCATATGAAATCAAACATACCTTAACATCGCCTAAAGGTTTTTTAGGCATAACCTTCACACGAAACCAAAGTTTGTTGGCTTGTCGATTCACAACAAATCTGAGATAAACCACAAATACCAGAAAAAACTGTCAGTCATTGACATGAGACATACAAGTTAAGCCCTACATCGTTCTGAATTGAAGCTTCGATTATGAAGTTTCGCACAAACTTTGAGCCTGTGTTACTTTTTACTATTCTGTACGAGGTGAGTTTATAGGTAAAATTCTCATGTGCCAACGTTAAAGTGAGAGCTACTAAGCAGTCACTATTTGGTGATGTTGTTCATATTTATTTTGCTGCACAAGGTGGATCTAAGTTTTAAGTTTATGGATAAGCTAAGAAAATTGAAAATTCAGTACTTTTCGGAACACTTTTTGAATTTACGAATGAAATCCTAAAGGTGCTGAGCATTACTTTACCGAAGTAATGTTGGCTTTGGCATTGGAGTTTAAAGTGTGAAGATGGAATCAAAAGCACAACCTTTGATTAATGTCTATCTTAAATAAGGATGCCACCTTCACTACAAGCAATTTACAGAGGGGTTTTTAAATGAATAATACTGGGTTGTATTTTCAGTTGGTGGTAACAAGAGACTCTTTTTATTACACTGTCAGGTCAAACGATGTAAAAGCACTAAAATCGCGCTGAAACTTCGTAAAAACAAAGACAACGACACCAGGTAACAATATTTACACAGTTATCTGCGGCTTCTGTTCTCATTCAGCAAAACCAGCATGGTGATATGGCAAGCTTTGCAGAAGCGTTGTACAAGGCGCCCACGAAGTCGGAACGGAATATTTTTTTTTTGTGAGGGTAGATTTTTTTAATTCTCATTCAGAGCAGTGCTCGAACACATGTACACATGTATGTATGGCAGTTTTGATTAGATGTGTAACATGTAAACGTTTGTTTTATTTTTTGGGACAAAGAAAAGTTTTAAGCTGCGAAATTTACCTTCCACCACTTCGACCTTGTTTCTTTCACGGCGGAGCGCTTGTTTTTTTCTGAACTGCGACCAAGTCATTAACCTTTTTAAATAATTTTCAGGTAAACTTACATTTTACACGTTATGCTCAAGGAAAGTACGTTATTGAAAGGAAGTTCATGTATTTATAAATAGACGTTTTATATATTTTTGATAGAGTTTTCACGAAAAATTGCGAAATGCGCCCGACCTTACACAGATAATTTTAGTGTTGATTTTTGCTATGTGCTCAGCCTATTTTACTTGTGGGAACGGATTCACGATCCAGTCAGTGTTACGTGAATTGCTTTTAACGGTACACTTGTCGGTTTTCGAATAAACATTTTCAAGAAACAATTTGTCTGTTTATTGTTTTCTGTTTGTTCATTCATAACATTAGTCTTGCAATAGTTGAAAACATGATCGCCGGCATCTGAAGTCTTCTTAACTTGCGTTTCATTCTTCTTATTACACGCATCACTTCTACGACGATGGCAACGAATTTTGCACAATTTTTACTTTCGAGTTCAGCAACTAGTGAAGTTTATTTGAAAATATGTGTTACTTGTTATTCTAGATAGATGTCAGGTGATTTTGTAAAGGTTATTTGCGCTAATGGTCACGCAAAAACAGTTTCTGAAGTAAAAAAAATTATAACTTTAAGAAATCGCTTCTCTTACGGTCATGTCATTGGTAGTCGACTTTGTCTTGTTAGGAGGAACTAACTTAGTCCTAGTCATTTGGGGATTAATACATGTAGTGAATTCCGTGTTTCGTCAAATATTACCTCGTAAAACAGTAAATGCTTTTTGCACCGCATCATTTACATCGCGATACAAGTTTTCCGACTAAAGCACTCGCGCGACAATCTCGATTTTCAGTAATTCCATATTAGGAGGTAAATTTTGCTTGGTTCCCTAAAAAACCCCAGCACTGCGACAAAGTTATATGCTTAGGGGCTATATGCTTCTGGTTTCACGTTATCTTGAAAACATTTTGGGCTCTCCTCAGCCTTGCAGAAATGGAAGTGCTTACTGAAAACAAACCTTGGATCATCATTAAACATCTCTGCAGATGTTGAGGAATCCATCTCATCAAATTCAGCTGCCTCGTCACGTGCTCCTAACATGAGCGGGTAGGTAGGAAGGGTGACCTAAGAAAACGACAACAGTCCTTACTGTCCTTTAAGCCCCAATATTGACATACAAATTCTCCAGACCGATCCCCATAAATTTCCTTAAATAATTAGTTTAGAGAATTTGATAAAACATCAAAGTATTTTTCCTTATAGGTGATCATTTTATTGATTCTCATTGCTTTTCTTTTGACGATGTATTGAAATTATTAGGAGGAAATTGATGTTGGTTACTCATAGGACTTGAAAGGCTTAATTTGCTTGCTCCCGTTTCTGAACCTCTTTGTTAAAACGCCTTTTGTGGAATGTCTGTTGAGAGGTGTATATACACCACACATTGTCAACATAGTGTTTACATCATGTCCTCAACAGTTTTTCAAACAGATAATAAATATTACTTTTATGACGACAAAGATGTAGCTATATTATGAAGTTGTCAACACACTTTATAAGCTTTAATACCAACGGAAACTTGAACCTAGCCTGCAGAGCAGACTTTATTTTTTTGGTGTTTTTTCAGGAATGAGAAAGCAAGCACAAGACATGCGTGGAGCTCAAGACATGCGCGACGAGTTGTCACCCGCAAAGTGCTTACCTTTGCTGACCTGAAAAATGCAAACAGATAATGACCTAAATCTAACAGGTAGATCTACCTAAACAGTAACATGAGTGTCCAGAATCTCCAAAAGTCACTGTCTGAGTTCACCTTTCTATTTTTCGAGTCAGTTACTCCTTGTATTAATAATTATATTTCCTGTCAGTTCTACATGTTTTATAAAATATTAAAACTTACTCCAGTAAACTGAGATGGGGCAAAATTTAACATACTTTACCTGAGCCGTGGGAACGAATGACCTTCCCTCACAACTGTTGTCAATGCTTCGATCAAACTTCCTGTTTATCCCCATCACACCAACAGAACTTTCCTGCTTTTTATCATCAGCAGCCTTCTCGCTTCCCTCCTCCTTGTTCTTTCCTTCATCATCAACATTTTTCTGTTCCTTGTCTTTTGCTCCATCTTCTTTGGTCTTTTCTGTATCGTCTTTTTTGCCTTCCTCCATCTTGCTGTCAGCTCCTTTATCATTGCCCTCATCCTGCTTCTCCTTCTCCTTTTCAGCAACAGCGTCCTTTTCATCTTCTTCGATGTTCAACAAAGTGACTTTTAACAAATTTTCCACTGGATTTGTGAAGGAGAGAGTCACCTGGGCTTCCTGCAAAAGCAAGAGACTGGATGTCAAAGTTCATCCTTCCTTTATGTTGGACCTGAAGTATTAAAAACTTGATACAAAAGTATTTGGACTTTATTAGGTTTAAGTTTCCATTCAAAACAATTAAACAATACTACCTTCAAAGCGCGGGAACCAGATGAAATTCTTGCCAATGCAATATCGGAAAAAATGATTTTGTAAACTACTACTGTCTTAGCCATAATTATTCTTTTTCTTATAAGACAAACATAAGACACTTCAAAATTTTCAAAGCGCGGGAGCCGGTTGAATAGTTTTACCAATGCAATATCGCAAAAAATTGATTCTGTAAGGTGCTGCTGTCTTAGCCATAAGTATTCGTTTTCTTATAAGACAAACATAAGAAACTTCAAAATTTTCAAAGCGTGGGAGCCAGATGAAAAGTCTTACCAATGCAATATCCTTACCCATAATTATTCGTTTTGTTATAAGACAAACATATGAAACTTCAAACTATTACTGAGGCCTCTACACTTACTATTAGGGGCCTGCCTGTTCGTGGTCATTGAGTTAGGATGTATTGTGAGATGAAAACAGTGTACGTACCTTTCCAAATTTTAGGGCGGGAACATTCGAAATTCTTAGCATTGGTAGATAATGACTAAAAGGGAGACAAAGATGAATTACTTTACATAATACGTTTTTGGGGGAAGGTTATGATGACATCATGTTGCCATTGCATAGCATCGTGGGACTCATACAGATTAAAATATACATCCCCTTTTCAGATCATTTTGCCTTTTGGGGCTGCTAAGGAGGGTAAAGCTGACATTTTTTTTATTGTGGGCTATTGAGGTGACCACACTTGTCGGCGTCTTTCCACCGAAGAAATAAAACATTTTATGCTTTGATCGGCCTACTAAAATCGAAGTCGCTGTAATGTTGTTGTAAACATTTCATATCAGATATTAAAGCAGCCAAGAAACGTTTTAAAAACTTTTTGGAATTTTTTTACAATGGGTAGAAAGAGTAGACAAAGGTTTGGTAATTTGTGCTGCAAAAGTTGAAAATGAGAATTCTTGTTCACCGTGGACGACTAATTGTTTACGCGTTTGTTCAAGTGTGGCACATGCACGTTATGTGCGAAAGCATTTTAAAATCACTTAAAATCAAGGATTCTTAGGGAAGTAAGTGAAAGTTTAATTTAAACAGATTTGGTCACGTGCTAGCAACGGGTTCTTGACAGATTTCACAGATCGCGGAAAGTGAATAAAAGTGATTCATAGAATATGCCGCTCTCGTCACATGAATCAGCGACGTCTGTGAAGACATTCGAGAGCTGGAAGAAGACAAACAAATAATTATCTCCCAATTGATTGTTTCAGTACAATCCTAACATGCTGGGATTTGCAAGACATGGGCAGCAAAATTACCGGGAACAAATGTGTTCATCATTACAGGTTCCAAGAATTTGAAAATCATCAGCCGTTGCGTACGAAGCAAACTTATTCATTATTGGCAGCCGGGAAAAAAATTTAAAAGCGTTGACAAAAAAGCCTAGAGATTCAGGCTAAAAGCAGTGAGTTTATTTCGTACCCGTAAATTCTCCAGGTGCAAAATTCACCATCGTATTTCTATTACCTCTCCACTACTTACACTGCTCCTAACTGAATCTTGAACTTTATTGATGAAGGGTTGAATTCTGGTTTGCTTAGATTGTGTTCACATTGCTGTTTCGAAATAAAGGACATTCAGGCATCAAGCATGTTAAAACAACATTATTTTAAATCTAAGGATAATACTGAAAATACCAACGTTTGCTGTTGTGATAGTAATTTCTGCATCCATCTCAGACATTCCTGAGTAAAAGGAATTATTGCATATACACAGCCATACATATCCACAACATTTTCTCTCCGTAATCCGTAAGTTAGTTGTAGACATGTACACGTGTAAGTTTATGTGGATAAAATCCTATCGTGTGACAATTCTATATGAAACCTCTTTGGTACTTCTCCTGTATCTTAATATTTTTCTTCACAACATGAAATTGATGAGCACCATCACTCGGCAATTAGGAGGCATTTAAAGAACATCCATGGCTTAAAAACCATAGGCGACTTGAGCAGCAACTTTTCCGTACTCAAGAGGTCTAATGGAAAATTAGACTGCCTGATTTACGAATAGCTTATTATAAAGGAGAAGAAACCAAGCCTAAACACACGATCAGATTCCATCCGGCCAAAACTGTTTGTTTAACATATTTTCACATTTTTCATTTAAACGTGCCAACATGTTACTTTTCTTCTTTATTTTGTCACATTAAACCGTATATATTTCATCAGTTTTTAGTTTTATCTTTGTCGCTTGATAATGATGTCATGGCGACATCGAAACGTCGTGTTGAACTTTTTTCGCTTATTTTTATTCTTAAGTGTTAAACAAAATTTAACTTGATTTGTAACATGAAATTCAGAGTTTTTATCCAATATTTCAACCTACCCGGCAACGCTGAGACCTCTTGGCCAAGAGATGCTTGTGTCTTGGATGAAGATCACTGTGATTGTACAACGACAAGTCAAAGTTAATATTGTGTCAATGAATTTTAAAACAAGCAAATGCTGCGCCCCCCCTCTCCGACTCCTCCCTGCAAGAAGGCATACAACAAAAGGGATACGATGTGATACTAAATTGTTACAAGGTCTAAGGGCTGTGATCTTTGGTGTCTGGTCATATTCTGCAAAAAAGAAGTACCACTGTATCCTAGTCTGTTGCAAGTTGTGTTTGAATATATAAATCTATATATTAACGAATAACGATAACGATAACAACAAGGAAAGTAACAGTGGTACTAAACGATAATAGTGGTGGTGATGATGATGATGATGATGATTAAGGCAAACTTACGCTAATGTTTCTGGCTGAAAGTCTGGCTGGCACAACCTCTGCTGTAGATTTGGAACTAATAAAAGAAAAGAAAATGTTTTTAAAGTTGTTAAGCAACTAGGTCAACACTTAAGACGAACCATAAAAATGCAGTCCTATAAACAGTAGACAAGGCCAATAACATTTCCATAATAATTAGAGGTTAGCTGGCTTGATAGTTTCTGTGAAATTTTTACTCATTAGAAAGTTTACAAACTGACACACTACATAATATAAACACAACAAATCTATTTACAGCACCAGTAAACTAATGCTACCTTTTTCAAGAATTAAAGTTTTGTTATAAAATTCTTCAGCCAATGTTTCCACTTCTTCCACAGCTTCACTAGGGTTTTTTAGAACCACTTCTTCATCAACCATTTCTTTCCTAATTAAGCAAAACACAACAAAGGTTCATGAGAGCACTTTTCAAAGTGTTCAATTCGAGTGACAACAAACAGCAGAGATGAAAAAAAAAATACATTCGACTCCCGATAACTCGAACTCTCGCTAACTTGAACTAAAATCGATTTCCTGTTGATTTCCTCCAATTATTTACTGTGATTTTACCCTCAGTAACTTGACCCCTTGACAACTTGAAGTAATTTTTGTTTCCCTTCAGACAATAGCTATATAATTTTACTCTTGATAACTCGAATACTACGCACACTGAAGTCAAAAAAAATTGTACTGTAGTTGGAAACATTGAATTTATTTCAACACAAACCAAGTATTCTTTGTATTGCTTTTCAAAATATCAGTATCTTGAAGTGATAATGAAGTGTGCATGATACTTGCACTCCTTCCCCATCCCATTTCCTTATCTCCTTATTTCTGGTTGTTTTGCTTCGAACTCCCAATAACTCAAACCTTTTTAGATTTCCCTAGAAGGTTCAAGTTATCGGGAGTCGACTGTAACATAAACACAATGGGATCAATTTAAGTTCCTGGGAAAATGCCCACCTACCCCTCCCCTAAGCTAACATTAACACTTACTTTTCACTTAGGGCAAAAGGATGGCTTAGGGGAGAGGTTGGTGGGCAGTTTCCCAGAAACCTAGATTGATAATCCACACAATGTACTAAACAACACAATGCCTACCCTTTTGAGCTGAAACTAGTCAGATAAGAAAGACTACTCTTGCGTCTTGTTAAGGATGATAAATTGAACTTATCCTAAAAAGAAAAGAATCATTGCTTTAGTCTTGGAATTTGGCAAAAGAGCTGTACTAGCTGAACATTCTTGGCCATGAAACTTAATTACTAAGAACTAAGAAACACAAAAACACACATGCTTTTTCATGCACCCAAAACCATTTATTCAGATGTAATCACCACGCACACTGAAATGCGTTACTGTTGTTGTATTTTATCACCTCAAACTATATATACACTGAGTCAATTTTTTCATTTGTCACTTGAAAATGATGTTACAGCCACATTAAAACGTTTTCTTACACCTTTTTTCCTGACTTTTATTCTAAAGTGAATTCTAATTCGATTTTGCCCTAAAAAATCAATAAGTAAAAACATTAAATGACACCCCCAATCAGTTAACACTGGCTTCCATATCACCTTGAGACAAGTATTCAGACTTGCAATCAAGACAATCACAGGGAAACATTTCTCATGCAACATGGGACAATCCTGACAATTCAGAAGAATTACTTTGAGCAAACAGAAGTCAGTCTGGGGCCATTGTGAAGAATGATTTATATTTAAGTGGTCATTATGTTTTCCTCAGACTTTGTACAGATGGCCCTTACAAAATCAAGGCAATTATTGCCTATGTTGTAGTTAATTTTGTTTTTATCTGACGTAATATTTCTTTTCCTTTTGTTTTTGGGTATGGTTAAAACGCTAATGAAGTTGAAACAAAAGAAAAATAAAACTTACCTGAGATAAAAAATCAACTACAACACCTACAAAACCTCAAGTGCTTCAAAAACTTTTGTGGTGATTTAGACAAAATAATAAGAAAACCAATAGCCTTAAGAATCTTATTTACATCTTGAACTGTACATATTTAAATAGACATGTAGCACAATTAATCAAACTTGTAAAAACTTGATTTTAATTCAAATATTTTTAAGTCTGACAAAAGCTTGTTATGTAATATTACTCTTTAAACACATAAGAATGTCTCATAAATCAAAATTAACAAACCTTTAAATTATTCAAAGGAATATTTTAGTGAATAAGACAATATTTTATTTACTTGATACTTGCTATGTTGTTTAATGTTTTCTTACCTTCCTTGGTATATACTGTGTCCAGTTTTAAAGGGGATTTTACAGCATTTGGGATTAGATATAACAGAAAAATCAATCAGCTTTTAATAAACCTATTTAATTATAATTATATTTATTTTTTAGAGAAAGAATCACAAACATCTTGAGTGATATCTCGATTTTTCCTTGTCTTAAGTTAGTTTAAGAACTTTATAAGTGGTTTTTCTTGTTAATTTGAAATTAGAAATTTTTAACGAAACAAACTGATTCAAGCATAAAAAAAGGTAACAACATTATCAATGATATGCTTTGAAACAAGCAAGTGTTATTTTTTTTATTTACATTTTTTTATAGAATACCAAGTTAAAAGTTATCTTAAAATGACTGATAATTTACTGTCATTCAATTCACTACAATCACATCAATTGGAATCAAATTTTGAAAGAGACTCTTGCAAAAACTAAATGGCCAAAAAATAATAATATTGTGAATTGTTATTTTCATCCAGATTGTTTCAATATCATTGTTATCTATAACTAAAAAAAATATAAACAAAATATAAACAAAAATCTAAACAACATTGATGTCTTATTTTAAATACTCACTGATATGTGCATATAGTTGCGGCGTTTGGTTAATTTCTTTTTCTCCCTTTCAACTTTTTCTTTTGTAGCAAGCTGTCTGTAGTATTCTACAAGAGTATTAACCTAACAAATACAAGAAAAACAAATTTTACCAGAGCACTACAAGAACCAAACAGATTTCAGTTAGAATAATTACCGATAGGATGCCTGACACAAGGCCCAAGAAGGGGGGGGGGGGGGAGAAATTGGTAATGGTAAGAACCCTGATGAATGGACTTGGGGGAATTTAAAATTTCATCATGAGTTACTTAGAGCTTTAGTCCACGCACCCTTTACCTGACTATTTCATGATCATTATCCTGGAATCATTCAAGTGATCAGAGTTTTTCTGGCCACAATATCAAATATTAATTTACCCTTTTTGCAGCGGGACTTTCCTGTTCCTGCCAGGCTCCACTTGCTAGACAAACGAGAAATGCAAGACAAAAATTAACCCTTTCATATCCAGAGTAAAGATTTGTTAATTGCTAGTTCAAACTTGTGCCTGTGGTTGAAATCAAATGAAACCTCTTCAGCAGTACTTTCTCGGGGAGCTGTTTACTATACTGTACATGGTTGTTCTAATAAAATAATATTAATTCTTTGAGTGTGTGGGTAAGAATCCTTAAGTGTGATGATCTGAATAGCCACTAAGTAATGCTTTTCTGTGGTGCTGCTTGATTATACTGTACAAAGTAGCTCAAACTGTTAAGTTTGTGAATGAAGACCCTGTCGAGGCCGAAGGCCTCAAGGGCTATTGACTCAGAGGCCATGAGAAAATTATTGTTTTAGTAAAATCCAACTAGTTGGTCAAAAATATCAAGAATAAAAAAATTTTTAGCTAGTTAAAGCTGGACTTTAATAATCCTTTTTTGCCACCAAAAAACCAGCGCTTTTTGCTACTAGTGGGCTATAACATAATTATAGCCTAGTAGTAGCTCAACCAATCAGAACACAGCATTGATAATAGACCACTAGTTGGATTTTACTAATGTAAAAATAGACACGATCCTGTGCAGGATTCGGATCAATTTAGGTTTCTGGGAAACTACCCTCCTACCCGTCCCCTAAGCCAACATTTAGCCCTAAGTGAAAAGTAAGTGTTAATGTTAGCTTAGGGCAGGGGTAGGTGGGCAGTTTCCCAGAAACCTAAATTGAACTCAGAATCCAATCAATTAAATAGGATCCTACAGAGGAACTTGTAAGATCACTTATGATCCTGTTTGTGATCCTGGACTGTATTTTACATGCTCTTGGGTTAATATCCTGTTTTTCCTCTGATTACAATTTCAAGCCACGCTCCACTATCTGAATGCCTGGAACAGGCTAGTTCCTGGGTGCAGTAGGATTTCTACCACAGTCATAATTCTGTACAAGGTTTTATGAATGAAATCCTGAAGTAAAACCTTTCAAATGAAACCTTCAGCAATACTTTCATATACCACTTACATTTTAATAGTGGTACTTTTATTGTTTAAATATTAAACTATTTACTTTGTTTAAAATTTCTAAAATCAACTGTATAATTAATTTTGTTTTACAAGTCAAAATAAAATTCTAGCTAAAATTTTTTAACCTAGGTTGATTCTCAATTTCGTATGTCTCCTAGCCCTAATTATTTGAGAATTAGGGCTAGGAGACGAAGGCAATTGAGAATCATCCTGCTAGTATAGTAGGTTAAAATATTCTAACATGAATATAAATATTTTGGCATGCCGAGTTTAAAGGAAGAAAAAACTTTATTGTATCTTGTTACTACTCACCCACACTCTTATCTTCAATCCCTACATCTCTAGAAGACCATCTGCAGAATCCACAAGCAAGGTAATAAACTTTCTTGGCTTGTGTCGCTTTGCCATCATCACCTGACTTGTCTGACTGTATGGCAACTGCTGTGGCTCTTGTTGACAATGTATTTCCACAACTTGGGCAGTCAAAACAATTGGCACATCTAGGACATACAAGAAACTGTACTGTATTTCACCCAATAAACAGTCTATTTAACTTTAGGGATCCAAGTGGGGGCCTTAAATAGATAGAGGCATTTATTCTTGTAACATTAATTTACTCAACAAAACTTATACAGTATTGCTCTCAGAGAAAATACAGTCCATCTATTGATATTTCCAGGTCGACGTTTGACACTTGTTTTCATTGTTAAAGCATTTTAAAAAGTAGATTACTAAGTAGTTAGTACAGAGCTCTAAGTGTGCAAAGCGCACGACCAGAGCTCCATTGCCAAGATAATTTCGTAATCTATTCATCCGAGAAAATTTGGTTACCACGTCAGCTTACGCCTCCGCCCGTACAGACTCTGGGAGTAGGGGTAAAAAACTAAGTAAGGTATGGAAGCTAGTCCCAGAAACGTATGTTTCATTTTGTTTTGGCACAAAATTAGCCATTTTGGTGGCAACCAATGCAGTTGCTCAAGTAAGAATTTAGATTAAAGTTCTTGTGTTTGACTTACAACAAAACAAAAATGTGCGAAAATAAATTTCTAAAGCTTTGCTTTTTGGTCATGGAATAAGAATCGTGACCACTTTCTTTGTTTACAAATGAGACTTGTGATGAGCATGTGGTTTATTTTCGGCAAAGATTGAAGTGATGCACATAATTGATCATATTTTTGGCTTTTGGGCAATGATGTAATTTTCCCTGAATCAAGGCCCTTGATTTTCCTGTATTTATACACACGTATTAAAAAGCAAATACTCTGAAGAATTCTCGACGGTCAGTAAAGTAGGACGTAAAAATATTATAGCGGGAGAAATCCTGTGTCATGGTATATTAAGGCATTACATTTCGCAGAATATTGACACAATTACTGGAACTCTGTGGTTAAATAGATTTGAGAAGAGGCCCTAATATAGAGCCTTGGGGAACCCCAAATGGTATGTCAATAAAAATAGACTGTTTGCCGTTGACTTTAACAAACTGCTGCTGAGATGTTAAGTAGCTGGGTACCCAGTTTAATGAGTTACCGGTAAACCCAATGGCACATAGTTTCCTTAGAACTACTGAATAGTCAATGGTGTCAAAAGCTTTGGAGAAATTGGCAAAAGAGATGAGAGTGACTTCACTTTTTCTCATTGCTCTTATTATGTCATCCCTTATTCACAGCAGAACTGTAGTAGTAGAATGTCCTTCACAATATCCTGTGACACGTTCATTAAATACAAGATTTTGTTCGATAAACTCCAATATTTGATTGTGGACAAGTTGCTCATAGACCTTAGAAAGTGCAGGAAGAATAGCAATGGGTCTGTATTGGTCAGCATTGATTGGGGAATCGACTTTAGGTATTGGAGACACTCTTGCCATTTTCCAAGCTGCAGGGAAGGTATCATTTGAAATGAAACTATTAATAATTTGTGTCAGAGGAGAGGCAATGTGGTTGGCAGACATCTTTAGATACTTAGCGGGTATTTGGTCAGCTCCAGTAGAACAATCAGCTCTCAAGTTTTTAAGCTGTTTCAGCAATTCACAATAGGTGACAGGACGATGGTCGAATGAGCTTGTGGAACTATCAGATAGTGAGTTGATAAGTTCTTGTAAAATGTGTGGAGAGTTTGGTGTTGATCCTAGCAAGCATTGTGAGGTGGAAGTAAAGTGGTTGTTCAACAGATCAGGGTCCGCTTTGAGGGGCTAAGCATGAGGATGACGAACATGATGAATCACCAGCCAGAGCTCTTTGGGTTTCCTCAATGACAAGGCTTTCTGATAAAACAACCCCTTTACTTGTTTAATTTTTGTCTTCTCGAAATTTACTCTAGATATCAACTGAATTGCTCTTATGAGCAAGATATAGTAGCTCGTTTTTTTCGCTTTGGAGCTGTGTAATGTTGTCTGTGTTTAATCATGGGCAGGAAGGCGGGTGATCTTCGTTCTGTGTAGTGGAGCATGTGCAGGGCTTGAAATAATGGCCGGTCAACGGACAATGTCCGGTCAGAATCGAGCGTTGTCCGAGCAAATCCGTGGATGACCGGACATTTGGGCTTTCAAAGAAATTCAATTTTGAGACAATCATGATGGAAATTTATTCAATCTTATCATGTTCCCAAAAAAGATATTAACTAGGGGGACTTTTGTTTGTGAAATTGATGACATTTCCTTTTGTCAGTCGCGACGCAAATTGGCTACTGCTGTCCGTGTTGTAAAGTGCTCAAGATTGCACGCCCCGCTGCGCCGAAAAATAACCCGCATAGCATCTGGTGCCAACAAGAGCGAAAAAAAGAAAGACCCAGAGTGACAGTATAATGAATTAGGGACGGACCATTAGAAAACTTATGGGGGGGGGGGCGGGCGAAGTACAAAAAAAATATTCGCGCAAGGCAAAATTGAATGAAAAAAAATTCATGCACGCCAATTAACCCTAAAAAATATTCATGCTGAGGCCTAAAAAAAATTCATACAAGGAATTTGATAACGAAAAAAAATTCCTGCGGCTCAAAAATTCCCCTCCCCCCCCATAACTTTTCTAATGGTCCATCCCTTAGGCCACCCTCTTGCTCCAATAAAACTTCTCAAATGTAACATTAAAATAAAAGGCTTTGAGTGTTAATGAAGTAAACATAAAAATACAGTTTGTCTTTATTTCGCCCTGTCCGTAAATTTGTTGCGTGTTTATCACTAAACGACTAATTCACAAGGTTAACTCAACATTCATCACCCTGTTCTCTTTGAAATACATTATGTATACGTTTTAACGCATTCAAATGCCAATGAATGCCCACTACCACGATTTTTTGTGCGAATGGCGATGTTACTTCGGCCAGCAGGTCGCGCCGAAGGATACGATTATTTTCATTGCGCAACGTGTAAGAGATGTAACGGAGAATTTACAAAATGTATATGACACTCAAAAGAAACGTTAACCAACAAAATTATATGAGCTGAAAGTTCATGCTAAAATGTAAATGTTGTACTATAAAGTTGAAGGTTACGTTTTGTTAGTGATTTGGTCAGGTTTCAGCCAAACGTTAACGATGAGGTTGTGTCTTGCAATCCACGTGTCTGACTTACAATGTAACAGAACAAAGAGTAATAAAACTACAACTTCTAATTTTTTGCACACTCGATTTGTTTTGAGTAACTAGAGTTGCTGTTGCTGAAAATGATACAGATCATGTAACTTGCAAAATGGAGCCTCTATTGCAACTAGTTAAGATGGATTAAATTTGTCCGGCCAAAAATGCCTATGTCCGAGCAAAATCACGTTTGACCGGACAATGTGTCCGGCGCCTGCCCCATAGTTATTTCAAGCCCTGATGTGTGTCTATGCATGACTTCACCATCGAATTAAAGATGTCTAGTTGCTGTTCTGGATCACCAGTGCTAAATAAGAGGCTAAATGGAAGTTTAGACAAGTCCTCTTTAAAAGCTTTTCATCAAAAAGTTTTTCATTTCAAACAAGTTCGAATCATGGCTCTACAATTACAAACACTTAAATGTTTCTACAATTAAATGTGATTAAAATGTTCACTGTGCAGCAAAAACTGTTTTTTTCCTTATTTTCTTTGAGCTCCTGATAACTCAACCTTTTTTCCATTTCCCTTGAAGGTTTAAGTTATCGAGAGTTGACTGTAGTTAGAAATTCAGCTATTTCATCTTTGGATAGCCATGAACGTCTTTTTCTTTTTCAGTTCACTCAGGAATAAACAGTTAGACTTCCACGCCTGGAAACAAGGTTGATTGATGGTATATCATTTATACCATCAAATCGATGGTATATTGCTTGCATCTTCAAATATTATGGTAAGTGCCAGTTTGATATGAAGAATTAGCCGGGGATATTTTACATATTTTAGTGGCTTGTCAGTCAAGATTAGAGTCTTAAACAACAAGAAAGGTATATAGTGGTTCAGTGCCCCAATGGCTCTTGAGTCGGGACTGACAAGCCACCAAGACTCTTGAATGATAAGGTCATTTTATCGCACTAACGAGCCACCAAGACCCTCAAAAATCCAGAGCAAAATAAAAATATTCAGGATCTAAACACCGATTATGATTCTTACCTGTTCTTTTTAACTTTAGCCTCTGCCGAAGGCATATTTTCCAAACAGTTTGGGCAGTAGTAAGAATCGACCTTAAAAAAATAAAAACGATAGCAATGAAGACTTATCCTCGGTAATTTGCCATGTATTAGGCCATAAGCTCTCTGTAAAACTATCCATATGGCCATCTGCAATTTTCGTATTTGCCATTAAAATGTAAATAGACTTTTAAATCGTCACCATTACTCTTGGCTTTTGTGAAAGATTTACCTCGTGAGACACACAAAGTGGACATCTCAACTTAATGCAGTGTCGACAAAAGTACAATCGAGAGGGTGGCGAAAGCGCCGAACAGGAACAAGTCAGTAATACTCGTACACCATCGCCTTCGAAGGGCGACGCCATGTTGGATTTTCCTTTTGCCTCTCATTGAGACGAAATGCATTCTGGGTATATTATTGTCGGCTTGGGAATCTGGGTACTAGAAATTGAATAATAGCGTTTTGCAAAATTGCAACGTTTTGTATTAAATAAACCCTATCAAGGGGTGGCGAATGGTAAAATCCGAGACTCGCCGAGACGCCGAGATCCTAGTTAGAAATCCGAGCCCGAGACTCTTTGGTAAAAAGATTCGAGACTCAAAAAAGTAAAAACAAACCATGCAAAAACGAGACTTCGAGACTTATCAAAAACGCTTCCGAGATTTCGAGATCCTGCCGAAATTTTCCGAGACCCACGTTTTTCGATGTACCATTCGCCACCCCTCTATCAGGCGGTTTGCGATTATTTTTGCAAGAAAGTAATGATCTTTCCTTTGAAAAGTACAAATAAAGTTTGAAATAAAGTGTTACAATACCTCTCAAAGTCTTTATTCCTTCGTTCTATTCCTTTGAGGTCTGCAGTTGATGTTATACTTTTCACTCATTTATTAAAAACTGAATCATTGGATAATGCAATTCTAGAGCTCTGATTGGCTTAGCCATCATGGTATATGAGCCATTATACCATGCTCTCTAAATATGGTAACTGCACGCGTCTGCTCACATTAAAAACAAGCTGAAAATCGGTTGTTTTTACAAGTAAGGTCGGGAAGAATTCTCGATATTTTGTGGGTGTTTTTAATAAAACAATTATTCCCCTCGCGCTTGTTGGATATGAGATGATCAAAGCCAACTCGGCTGCTAATTAATTCGGATATCTAAATTGAAATTTAGTTGAACGATCCATTTCAGCAAAACTGACAAGCCACTACATCAAAAGGGCAAGTTCCCGGAAGCCTGAATTCACATCAATGTCTAATACCGGGCCTTAATACCACTCGGTTCCCCTAGCTTGCGTAAAAGGCGTTTCGAGAGCGTTTGGGGCGGGGGTGCGGAGGGCGCTCAGTGTTCTCACATTCTCTTAAGGGCTTGTAGCTCCTATGTAAGTCGCGGTATGTTTCCTCTGCAGGGTCTTCTGTAGATTTTTTTTGGACACCAACCTTTTCTAAACTAGCGTCAGGGAGGACTCTTTTAGTAAGGCGGTCAGCGTATACAACGCAGTATCGTTTCCGCGCGCCGATGATGCAGTTGGCTGCAAGGCTGTTGGAGGGTTTAAATTCTTTAGGGAGAGGATGGCTATATTTTTTTTATTATTATTATTGCTACAGAAGAAGTTGAGACTACCTTTGGGACATGAATGTTTCTTTCTTATTTTATATGAGTCAAGAAAAGAGTCACAAGAAATCTTACCACGTCTTAGAAGCTTATGGGTAAGTAGAAAAAACTTTAAACTGATCCCTACCTCAAAAGAAAAAATATAAAGAGATAAACTTTACCATTTGATTTTTTTTTTCTTTATATTTTTTCTCTCGTTTTTTCTGCTGTAAAGATCATTTTACCGTTTTTCTACTTGGCTGGTATTAGGAGGCCTACACACTGATCCGGCTGTCCCCAACCTCGTCCCCAGGGCTTTTCCCACCCATTTTTTAAGGGAAAAGCCCTGGGGACGAGGTTGGGCTGTCCCACCTCACTAGTCTGTTTCTGTGGTCTTCACTGCCTTTATAAATGTTTTTGGGTAATGTTGTCTCTTTTTGACGGCTAAGAATAAAAAAGCAATAGATGCACTCGTAGAGTTAAGTTTTCGAAACTGCAGGCTACAGGGTTCTCCACAAAGCGCCGTTCTAGCTGGAGCTTAGGAAACATAGATCCCGGAAATCGCAGCTATAAGTTGAGTAAAGAGTCAAAACGTGAGTTTGGTCAGTGCTGTTCCGGATAAGCATGAAAATAAAATACAGAACGAAAAGAAGGGGGAAATGAGAAGGGCGAGGGGATGGAAACAAGGACACGAGAAAAAAGTAACCTTCGCGTTCATATTTGTTACTAGCGACCAGTTATGGATAAGTAAAGATAACACTTCGCAGTAAATCATTTCACTCGTGCTTTATTTTCTGCTGACCTGATCTGCATTACAATGATATCAGGGTCAGTACAAAAGGAAAACGATTCTTGCTCACACGGTGTTTAAACGTGCAACAGCATGCTCATCCAGTTGAACTTCTCCAGTAGTAAGGTCAGTCCTCACCAGGCGATGCTCCACATAGTGACTTTGCGATGGCAATTCGACAGCCTTCTTTGCTCTGTGCAGAAAAAATATATATATTGTGTTGTAACACAAGTCCTTTTTAAACCTAAAGAATGCCACCCACGTGAAGTACTCAAAGTCCAGAATGATCGTTGAAAGTTCGGTTTGACCAAAATATAAACCAGTTACTCGTGTAACCTGCAGTTCTAATAAGCGTTTGGATAATCGGTGGATGCGCTGTTTTTCCTGCTCGATTTTACACCGTCCCCAAAATCTGAGAGCCTGTAACGTTGAGAACGTAACTATATGTAGTTAACCAAAGTATCAAAAAGCTAAAAAAGGAAAAGCATGTCTACTCTTAATGAAACAATGAACGTGAAGTCACTTTCTGTGATGATTAGTAAAACCACTTTCACTTCATAGAACTTTCTATTGCACCAAAGGCCATAATATCTCTTTTGGCATGGTTGAGTTTTCGGAATCTTTCGCTTAATACTCAGTACAGCTGATTTAAAATAATTTGAGAATTTGACTTTTCATCGTAAAAATATTCCCAAGGTGATAACTAGCTTTACTTAATGACTGGTGTAGTTATAATTAAAGATCAACCCTGCTCGCGCCTTTAACCCTTTTAAGGCCCTAAGAGTGATCAGCATCAAATTTCTCCTTTTAATATCAATGCTTTGTAAAACAGAGTGGTCATGAGAATTACGGACATGATCACACAAGACGAATTTGCTTGATATTTTATCAACTTCTCCTTACTACTTCTGTAGGAAATAAATATGGGCAACAAATGAGAATTCAACTTTTGATCTTAGGGTTTAAAGGGTTAATCAGTTAATAGAGCCTCCAGTGGCTCGGTGGTTCAAGAGCATCCGAACTAGAACTCAGAGGGTCGTGAGTTCGATTCTCACCTGGAGCTCGGAAATGTTTGTGAGCTTTCTGGTGTTAAAATCTCGTTCTCCCGACTTATAACAGTGAAGAACTATTGCACTTAACATGACTTAAAGATGAAGGGAGGTGTGCTGATCGACTTACTCGTACTGCTTTCCCCTGCCTTCACCCTCGATTGTAAAGAAATGTCCGTTAACAGATCCTTCCATGTGGTATGTCATCGCCATGTCATCTTTGATAACCTGCATTAAAAAATACACAAAAATAAATTCGCATAAATGCAAGTGTGGCTTGCGAAGTTAATTAAAGATTAGGGAGCTTAACACTGTTCAGGGTTGTAAAATTCCAAATATAGGTTGGGAAAAAGCAAAGCTATTCAGAGAGTATCTATCTAGAGTGATTTTACTTAAGCCGTGAAATAGATAGACTAATACGAACTATAATACGCTCTAATTTTATTGTTTTCTTTGTTTACCTGTAACTATTACATTTATTATCACTCATACTTTTTCACCGGTTTAGTAAAAGCACTCTAAAAAATCAATTGACTTTCGATTCAATATTTATATCACGTTTGCCAATTAATGATTTTGAAGAATTTTTTTGTTTATTTTACGCGAGAATCAAAAACCATAACCTATAGCACCACTAAATTGCAAAATTGCAAATTGCAAATTTCTTTTAGTCTAAGTTGCATCAGATTTAACTGATCGATAAACTTGACTATGAGTAAAGTATTATATCCACTACAAACTTTAAGCTTTTTTAACTGACTGAACTGACTGCCGTGTTAGGGTGGATCGATTTTAAGGATAGATACGCGGAACAAAGTACACTCATTGATTGACGCATGAAAACAGGTCAGTCTGGATCCTGACAGGTTGTTCTGGATAAAAGGGACAAATAAATCATTGTTCTTTACTAACGCCACGGGTTCACGTGATAATTAGTCTGCATGCACTTTTCCTGAAGTTATGTAACAGACAATTGAAAGTTTTCAAATTAAAAGCAAGCAGTTACTCAAGGGTGATGTCTGAAGTTATGTAACAGACAATTAAAAGTTTTCAAATTAAAAGCAAGCATTTCTAGCAATCTTGAAACTATTTCTTAACTTGTGTTATGTAGGTTTATTACTATACCTCGCCCTTACAGCACAAGCCATTAAAACACCGCAAAAAAAGAACGAACTCAAAAAAAAAAAAAAAAAAAGGAAAAAGTGAGTGCTGAACATCCATCTCGGGCACCCAACAACTTCTTCCTGTAAATTAAGTGTTCGAAAAAGGAGCAAATATTGCCTGGAAATTTCTTAAGTTCGAGAAAGGCTAAACATTTCTATATACTAACCGTTCCATTCGTCTAAACCCCAGTTCACTTTTTAAGTGAAGTGAGTTTGGGTCAATTAGGCATGCATTGGCAGTGAACTGTAATACAACTCGAATGAAGCACGCAATTTACCAATTTTTGAACCAGCAGTCAGGATTTTAGTTCTTGTGATATAGAACATGCATCGTAGCTGTATTTGATAACATACTTTTGTCCCACACTCGTCAGATATACTGCCTTCCTTTCTCGCTACTATTTGAGTAATAAGCCTTTCGATCCATCCGTCTTGACATCAGAAACTGAGATGTACATGTCATTAAACATTTCATATCAATTTTGGAAGGCATTCTGTTCCAACTTTGGTTGTTTCGAAAGTTTTCGTCGCACCCAAAACTGTCAGCTACCGTGATGGGTGCGGTGGAAAGTTCGAGGACATGGAGTCGCTGTACATTCATTAGAAGATTCTAGGGAAGGTTTGTCTTTATACGGAAAATTGCAGAAGATTTTTTTAAACAATAATCGCAATATCTTGGTACTAAAATTTGAAAAACACAACTCCAAAAATCGTTGGCGAGTTGGGTGTCCCTGAAAGGCTAATATCAGTAGCCGCAAGACTAGCGCTT